TAAAAGATCTATGGAACTCAAAGAACACCAAATATTTTGTGACATTAAACCACACAAACTATTGAAATTGAGTCAGACAAGATGGCTATCATTGCAAGCTGTTGTAAATCGCATTTTAGAACAATGGCAGCCCCTTGTTCTTTTTTTCACTTCTGAAACGTTTTCAAAGGCAAATGAAAAAGATTCGATTCGTCCTGATAGTTTACTAAATGCCATGAAGAATAATGTCTTCAAACTCTATTTCAGTTTTTTATCATACATCCTAGATATTATAAATAAAATGAATGTACTCTTCCAGAGTGAGTCGCCACAAATTCATAAGTTACATGAGCAAATAACTTCACTCTTCAAAACAATTTTGAGGAATTTCATGAAAGATTCATGTCTTCAAAAAAACCAAAATAGTCTTCATCAGATTTCATTCTTGCCATCAAATTATAAACCAATTGAAGAATTATATATGGGTGCCAATTGTGAAGCAATCATTCTGGATAATTCAGAAATGTCAAAAACTGAAATTGATAATTTCAGACTGAAATGTCTGGATTTTTACATTGAACTGGCACAGCAGATCAAGAAACGGTTCGATTTCAATGATCCTGTCTTGATATTCCTAAGAAATTTTGATCCGAAAGTTGCCGTTTCTGGAGAATGCCAGTCATTGGTATCAATAGCATTAAGATTTCCTAGACTGCATGAAGATATAGAAAAATTGAACTCGGAATGGAGATTATTACCTGATGTTGCCTCTTTAAAAGATAAAGCTGATCATCTCGAATTCCACGAATTTTGGAGAGTTGTATTTGAATTGAAAAATTCATTGGATCAGTTAATGTTTCCTCATTTAACTTATTTTTTAAAAGGAATCTTCTGTTTGCCACATTCTTCAGCTAACGCAGAGCGAGTTTTCTCGCAATTGAATTTAATCAAAACAAAAAACAGGAACAAACTCAAAACTGAAACCTGTAACTCACTGTTGCATACAAAATCTCTCTTGAGTAATCAAAAATGTTTTGAGTTTGATCCCCCAGATTGTTTGATGAGGAGAAATATATACGAAATAAGTGATGATATTGAAGAAGATGTGAGGTTCTAATGATTCGAACATTTATCAGTGATATTTTTTGTTTAAAAAGACTGCTCTAGATCTCGTGAGATATTTTGTTACCTAGTTATTTCGTAAACAGTGCTTCATTTTGTTAGGTACCTGATCTATTGATATTGAGAATTATTTTTTATAGGCGCTTCTGCAAAGTGTCAAGAGTTGTTCTTTTTTTTATTTTACTCAAACCGCTGTGCTAAGAGTTTTTGTTTTATTTTGTATTTATTTTTTATATATATTTTTTTATTCAATAAAATGAATGTCCAGATTGAGGTTTTCTTGTCCCCTACATCTCAAGGCCATATTGTGGCTGTATCAAGGCTGTATCTCTATGATCTAAGGATTCCACAGCGTATTTCCATTATCGATTCCACGAATATATGAACATTTTGTGTCGGATATCGGATCATGGGATCATGGGAATTCGAAATGAGGTATTCTCTTGTCATTTTTCAATCTATTACTATTTACTGTAATCTATTACAATTTCACATAACATTCTAGTACACTTCATTGAACTCCTCATCGCAACGCTGTCCGATGAACTCATCAATACTTTGGTGAATAAACTGTAGAGAATTGTGTCGATTGCAATTACTCGCTAGGATCTATGCGAGCTGTTCTTCGCTAGCTGTCTCTAATTGCGCGTAGGAGTTCGAGTCTATGTCCAGACAATGTTTTGCTGATGGAAATCAATTGGTTCCATCGATATTCTGCTCTCAAAGCCTCAATTCGCCGAGGACAATAATAGAGAATGGTAGATTAGAACGTTTCCTTCCCAATTCTTTCCTGATCCTGAATCCTGATCGTTTTCGTTTTCGTTTTATTGCACGGACAATGAAGGATTTCATGGTAATCGATATTGGCTTTCCAGCATGAATGAGTTGAGACCTGACTGAGTAAAGAATGTACAGGAAGGTCCACGTGATTTTGACAGTTCATTTATGTAGATAACACTAATTTGACTCGAATTTGAACTAGTTTTTGAAATTTTGATGATTTATGATTTCAGAATGATCAAATGGAACTGTCTGTAAATTTATCTCATTTGTTACAGCGGAGGTAGGTACGGGGAGGTTTGATAGCTCAACATTTTTTGCATTTTTGCAATACCTACTGTTTTTATCTCTCGAAGCGCACGGAAGTAAAACCATATTTTTCTCGTCGAACATCGAAAGGGAGGTTAGGTATAGAAGGTATTATCGGAATGTTTTTCAACACTTAGATGTTATTAGTCCTTCGAAATACTTTAGGCTACAAATTCCGAACCCCCCTTTTATAGACGAACGCGTCATAATAGACATTGGTTCGACATATCTCAAGGTTGGCTACATGTGCTGAATGTGCTGACTGAACTTGTCGAGTTTATCTGACTGGTACTGGTTTACTAGTGATAAAATGGAGATTCCAGAGTAGTATTATCTGTCCAATAATGCCAAGAAAAAATGGAGTGTGGCATCACAAATCAGTCGAATGGCTAGTCTATGGGTTGAATTTAAGAGCATCATCGTATGTTTGAATGCTGAACCACATATGAAAGAACCAAGCCGGATCTGTGTGCTTTGTAGATCATTAGAATCTGTATGTGGTGTATGCATTTGTAAACTTAATTGAATTCTGAATTTCAATTGAAATGTAAAGTGTGATGTTCATAAAAAACTTCATTTCTTTTTTAAAGGCTTAGAGCGCACGAAAGGAAATTCCTATAAAATGTTCGGAGAACATCGTGCGTACCTATAAGGAGGATAGGAAGTGGAGGTATTGGATTTTTTTATTATAATCTAGACTTGTGGGCGCCGTCAGGTATTTTTTGTGACTTATTTATCAATGAAATGAGCGCACGTTCTTCGTCGGTCAAATTGTTGATTCATTCCCAACTTTTGGATAGCGAGCAATCGTGCCAAAATAAACGGTATTATAGAAAATAGAAATTGATCGATGGTTACCAGATATCAAACCCAATAACGTATGGTATTAAATCGAGGTATTAAATTTAGACATATCGGATTTTTCACTGTTTTGTCAATTAATATCGGGGAATTTTTTCTCTAACACGACTATTTTGTAAATTCTCCCTCGTCTTCGACTCTGGAGAAAATTTCCGGAAATAATTGAAGCTCTCGTGATATTATAAGTGAAAATTCCACACCAGTGATTTTCATACAGTTAAATTGGGTTTTTATGACAATCCAATTTATTTATCGAATTGCAAATCGAGTTGGAGTGATGATTGTTCAATATGATAATGCATTCCAAAATGGTTCCTCTCAAATCAGCCAAATTTCTACTTCTTTCCTAATATACTTCATTCTTCAAATAGCCCCATAGGAAGTTATCTAAAGGTGTTAAATCTGGACTGTTCGGCGGCCATTCTACTGTTCAAATTTTCCGATCCACGTTTGATAACGATCATTCAAGTGATGCCGTACGGGCAGCATTTAAACATTCCGGTATAGGATTCGGCACCTGCTAAAATTCTATTGGCGGATTTTGATTTGTCTGACCAATTAAAGGCGAAGTGCCGAACTCCGTACCAGAATGTTGAGCGGTGCTGAAAAGCAGGTCGGAATGTTGCCCTGCATTTTGCGCGGTTTTTGTTTACATTTACCCTCGCATTTACCTATAACCTGCGTATTTTTTTATTATACCGTCGTTCCCACATGCTAACAACAAACCTGCAATCTTGTTATTATAGTTAAGTGCAATCATCAAATAGTAAAGTATACCATAAATCACTAATTATGGAGAGATTAATAAAAGTTTCAGAAAATTTGTATAGGGGCAATATGAAGAATGAAACAAAAGTTGTGCAATGGATGAATGATTATGAAGCTCTGTCGTTTACATCATGGAGTTTCAAATCAGGCCCTACAATTTTATGTTTTTTGAATATTTTTTTATTTGCTCATGAAATGTATTCGAAGAAGACGAAGACGCAGTTTGGCAGGTAACGTGGCGAGAAATCAACCAAACGCTAAGTATCATGGAATAGGACATTAACAGACATTAAGTGTTCTAATGATTGTTATTTCGAATTTATTATCTCATTTTATTACATATAATCATTCATTTTGAACTTTTATACCAAATAATCATCATGAATATAAATGAAAATTTCTAAAGTTAAATGCGTTCATTACACATTATCTCGAGCTTTCATTTCATCAACATTCCGACCTGTCTTTCAGCACCGCTCAACATTCTGGTACGAATTTCGGCACTCCGCCTTCAATTGGTCAGATAAATCAAAATAGGCCAATAGAATTTAAGCAGGTGCCGAATCCTATACCGGAATGTTTAAATGCGTACGGGCATAACTTGATGAGATAGCGCGCCATCCTGATGCCAGATCAATTCATTATACTGCCTGAGTGGGAGGTTTTCCAACAGATCTTCAATTTCGTTGTTTAAAAACTGCAAATACCTATCTCCTGCTAAAGAACTCTCAAAGGAAGTTGGTCCAATCACTTGGCTTTTCAAAATACTACACCAGACATTGAGGGATTTGCGACCCTGGTGCTGAATCTCTTCGTATCCATGTGGATTTGGTGAAATCAAATTTAAAGAAAATCTAAAATGTTCAACCTCGAATATCTCGAAAACGGTTGAACCAAATATCAATGACCAGTATATTTTTGGCATCAGGAAGAAAAGATCTTGAATTTTTTCGATAAATATATAGGGTGTTCCATTGAAAATAACAACATAACATAACAAGAAGTTGGTACCCATTTCTTATATCAGCGATATTCATTTGTTTCATCTGGAATAATTTCCTGGAGTTTCAAAACAAACCCTACAAGTTTTGCATTCGAAGTTTTTCCTTATCTTCAATAATCAACCCTGTAGAAGTTGTTTAAATATACGGAATGACCCTGTTCCTATTGTCCGTTTCCAGACGAGCCGCGCCTCCGTTCGGGCGCGTGGGAGGACCCCGCCCCGCCCCCGCCCTCCTGCGAGCACCGCCCCGCCCCCTCTGCCGCCCCCGGCCCCGCCTCCGCCTCGCGCCCCTCGCGTTCCCTCCAGCACGCCGCCTCGCAGCGCAGCTCGGAGGACAGCTGGTGCTCCGGCTCGGAGGAGGAGGAGGAGGAGCTGAGCTCGGAGGAGGACAGCGACAGGAGCGCCGCCTCCAGCAACAGGTGAGTGAGGGCGTGGCCATGGAGTCATAGGGCGAAGGGCCGAATGTTCGGACCAAAATATGGCGATAGGATCAGATATATAATTGCACTGGTTCTCGACCAGATAACCGAAATGTCAATTTTGATAGTGGTAAATTCGTGTGAAATTTTTTTACAGTTATATCATTGTATTGGAGTTAGTGTATACCGATTCCTCGATAACTTGAGAGTAATTTGTGAATATTTTCAAGCGTTATTTTGCATTCAACTTCTGAAATCTTCATGACAGGAAAAAAAACTGCAATTTCACTGGTTCTTTACCACCCCGCAGAGTTCTCGACCACTATCCATCAGTTTGATTCACAAGGCAATGAAACGATTGAAAAACACTTGACATGTAGAGATCATAATGCAAAAATAATCTTATGCTCAGACAGACTCCTAAAAACTAAGGAACAAATAAATACTTATCTTCTTTGACAAAATAGAAATAAATAAAGATAAGACAGATACAAGAAAAGAGCAAAATTTTTGTTAAACTGAAAACCAAATATTCAACAAAAAAATATTATTTATGTCTGTGAAAAACTATATCTACTAATCAATATAAATCGAAACTCATGTACCCAATGCATTCAAAAGAAAGTTATTCACTATTTTCTGGCCTGGTATCAACAGCACTTTTCAAACACAGCCTCTGTCAATGACAAACGTAGGTATATCAAATGATGTGCGAAAAGCTCGACTTTTTTTTTTCAACTCTGCCAAAACCACATAACGGTCGAGAACCCTATGCCTCAATGAAATAATACTGTGGAAGATACAGGGCTTTAAAGTTGATTTTTCTGATGATTTTACCGTATATCAATTATTATTGTTATCAACATCGGTCCAGATGCATAATTTTATTCAGGAAATATTATTTTATGTACTATTCTACATGCAGTTTGTTACAAGGGGCGCCACGTTAATGGTTTCTGATGATGAAATCGACTGGTAACCTCATTCAACGAAACTTTTTAGTGATATTGATTAGGAAATATTACATAAACATAATTTCGACTTAATATTGGTACTCGCGTTTAAACACGGTATATATTAATCCATTTTAGAGAAAAACGCAATTGAACTGTTCGAAATCCAGGAAGGGGATTTCAAATATTATTTCATTTATGAAGAGTGTGCTTTGGACTGTCAGATTATTGTTGCTGGTAAATGACATTTCTTGTCGGTAAATACATTTTAATTATAGTCAATATTATTGAAACGCCCTGTATCTTTTTCCACAGCCATATTTGGTCCTATCGCCATACTTTGGTCGAAGCGATCTGCCCTTAGCCTATGCCCCAATAGTATAACCTAATTATTTGAAAACCACGGATATCACTCATTTCAGAAAAGCCGCAAAAGAATTCCTCAGAGAAAACCCGTATTATACCGTGCAGGAATTTTATGAAAACTGTTTTTAATTTATTCATGTGTTAGAGAACTGTGATATTGATGATGTTTTTTTAATTAATATTATGAAATAACATTCAGATTCTGTTTGACACTATGTTTTTAAAAAACACATATGTATATATTCATAGGAATTTCCTTTGGTGCGCTCCAGAAGATGAAAAAAATTGAATAAATTGTATTAGGATATTTTAACTTTGTCAATAAGATACACTGTTCGGACAAAAAAGCATATCGATCATTCAATCAATTAATCAATGTATCAATGAAAGTTGACACTGGGATGATTGCCGCATACCCGAAAATTCACTATTTACTGATATTTAATCGGAACAGATACAGGGTGGTTCAATATACAGAATTCTGCCGATAATAAATAATTTCGACACAAACAAATCCTAAAGTTGAAAAATCTCAATTTTCAACACCCTATATCTCTGTAATCATTTCCGATAGACCCAAAGTGTGATTTATCGATGAAACCAGCTCTTTAGGGGGAATCTAAAAATGCAATAAAATACAGGGTATTCTATTTGAAATAACAAAGTTGTTGCTACTTTTTGATAGAATCGGCAACACTGCATTTTAAATATTATTATATATATTCTGAAATATAAGCATGCATATTTACATGGATTTCTCCCGACTGATTCTGGATATAGAGATAGTGTGAGCTCGTCGTGATATACCCTGTATAGAGTTACATTTACTCTTATATTTTTGTTTACCCAAAACGCTATCAACATCAAAATATTTGTTTTCAATTCCAAATATTTATCAAAATAAAATAGATTACAGTTAGATAACAAGCACAATATTTGAGAACATGGAAATCGATATATTTCCTCAGTTTCGCTCTTAATCAAATGTGAAGCTCCAATTAGTAGCAATTAATCAAACGTAATGAACCAATTAAAAAAATTAACGATCTTCGCTATAGCTAACGACAAGTATATCTATAGAATACAGACAGTGTACAAAAGTGAACTCGAATGAGCCATTCCGAATAATGTATTTCTATTCCGCTAATTCTTTAAATTTAATTAAACTTGGCTGTAGACTACATCTACTTTGAAATAATATTGAATTGAAGAGACAACAAAATTTTTATGAGAAGTGGCAAGTAGCTGTTTCATCAGCTGTCTGGATCTTCTCCAAATCCTGTGACTAAATATATTCCTAGTTTTTATTCATGTATAGGCACTCACTGAAATGAACCATCAAAATTCCCAATCAGTTTATCATTTCAATGGAAGAGAGACAGAGAGAGAGAGATAGAAAATATATACTTGAACCAGATGTTTTTGCCAATTCATGATTGAGTACAGAGGTATTCTGTTTGATTATTCTGAAAACTAGTCTATAGAACTTCCCGTTTAGTCATTCCGTAAATTTAAGGTGAGATTAGTAAGAATTAGGATTGGTTGAAGCAAAAAAAAATATATTCAAGTATTGATCGAACACTCTCTGTCGAGATGTACTATTATTCAGTGAAAATATTTATTTTAGAATTCCGAACACATTGTATTATTTTTAGTATTCGGTTTCCCATTATCAATTATATTTTATCACCTTTTCCATTAAAATTGCATATTTATGGTTGGAGGCTACTGAATAAATTATTTATTTGCAATTGCTGGGTTAATAATTGGTTCAAAAGAACATAATATAACAAATGATATTGCAGAATAGTGGAATAGTTAACTGGAATACCTTTTAAATGATGTATCACTCGGCGACTTCTGAATTCAAAATACGCAAGTTGATATAGTGGCCCAGAGAGATGAAAAAAAATGCAGGATATCAAAAGATGCATACCTGATACTTCAACAATCTCGAGTGCACTCCTCAACTTTTTCATTACAGACTGAATAAGTGGTTGATGAAAATCCGAATTGAAAGATAAAAATAAAAGTAATTCCTATCATATAGAGGTTACTCGATCAGTTTCACATTTGAAATTCTAAAGTGGATGGTAGCTATTTTGTGTCCCAAAAGACGCTGAATAAAATAGTAGAGAGAATAACAATAATGTAATTATTATTGAATTATCTTCGGAATGATGTTGTTCGACAACTAGTGCGTTGTAGTTGAGAAGTAGATAATGGCCTTGGAAAAGACAGATAAAAAGACACAAGATGTTAATAATAGTTCAATAGAATGAGGTGCCATTCGATCACTTTTGCATTTCTTATTGAAATGTTGAACGTGGCCCAAAAATATACTTATAATGAAAATAGACAAAATTTTGTAATCTAGATAGATAATAAAAATGCCTTTCGAATAAAATATCACTCAACTCTTTTTTGATTTTTTTTATGTTGATAATACGCAGATAGATGACACCCGTTCTTATTTTCTCTCATTCCAAAAGCAATGGCCAACTATGCAGCACGCAAAACCTGAACGCTCTGCGAGAAATGATGTAGTTATTACTCGATAATTCATTGTACCTAGTTAGAAAGTTGTAAGAAGCAATATTATAAGTAATACATGCAATACAAAAAGGACTTGATACCAGAAATTATGTGATAGCAATTTTTGTTGATCTCAAAAAAGCTTTCGATACAGTAGACCACATAACACTTTTGGAAAATTTAGAATCAATGGGACTCAGAGGCACGATAAGGAACCTTTTAGATTCGTATCTTCAAAATAGAACAATCATTACCAAATCTACTAACTCAGAGTCTCATAAACTACCGATGATTAAAGGTGTCCCTCAAGGATTTGTTTTAGGACCAATCCTATATCAATTATTCATTCAAAATATCACGAAAATCGAAACAGAAAGTAATTACACTATTTATGCAGACGATACGGTACTTTTATATGAGAATAAAAATTCTATCACATTAGAAAATATAATAAACAGGGACTTGATGAAATTTGAAAAATGGCTGCATTCAAACCTTTTATCAAAAAATACTGATAAAACTGAATATATGATTTTTCAACAAAAAATAAACAAAATATAAATTTAAATCTCATAATTAAAAATGAATCTTTGAAACAAGCTAATGAGATATAGTATCTTGGGATTTGGTTTGATGATAAATTAAAGTGGGACAAACATATAAATGTTTTGACGAAAAATATATCTCCTATTATTGGAGCCCTGAGAAGATGTCCCAAGCTCGATAAGAAAGTTGCAAATATAATTCTATAATCTCATATACTCAGTCGTATTAACTATTTGATAAATGTTTGGGGATACTGTTCGAAAACCAATTTTGAAATATCTGCATTATATAAAATACATTGAAAGTACTATATTGTTTACCATTTATAATACACCAACAATTCAATTATATAAAATAACTGAATCATTCTCATTAGAAGAAATGTTCAAAATTTAAAATATGAAAATTACTTACAATATCATAAATAAAAGATTGAAATACAATTTCATCTTAACACGAAACAATGAAATTCATGATTACCAAACTAGACAATATAGTTCATTCCATCCTGATATCGCTAATTCTTCTATAGGCCAAAAAAGATTCACCCATGCTGCTCTTTTTGAATGTAACAAATTACTGGATAATTGCAGATAATTGCAGACATAAAATAAAATTCGAATACCAACTTAAGAAATTCATCATTTCTGAACGAAATAGATGATTTGTTTTCCTTTCTTCAACTTTTGATTCATATTTAAATTGATTGTTGCTCACCAATATGAAATAATCGAGGGGTAAATCTCCTTGGAAGTCTGGTGTACACTCCGTTGGAAGTCTGTGGAATTCTTTGGAATTCTTTGAAAGTCTTTGGATGTTTTTGGATGTCTTTGGAAGTCTTTGGATGTCTTTGGAAGTCTTTGGATGTCTTTGGATGTTTTTGGAAGTCTTTAGAAGTCTTTGGGAGTCTTTGGAAGTCTTTGGGAGTCTTTGGAAGTCCTTGGTGATTGGAAGTCTGGTGTACACATTTTTCCTGGAGATTTACCCCTCGGAAATAATTTGTCAAAATTTAATACATAATGTACCTATTCAAATATCATATCATGAATGAGTTTATAATAATTGTATAGTTATAGGTATTATTGTTAACTATACTTCCTTATTCCAGAACTTGATACTAAATAATTAAATAAATAAATAAATAGGTAAACAAAAAAATCCAACGTCTTTTTTATACGTCCATGAGTTGAATAGATCAATGAATAATGAATTTACCTTTCATAGGAGGTGTCAATCGAACATTTTTGCATTTGTATTGTAAAGTTGATGTTCTCCTTATGTTCCAGAAGCAATGGCCAACTGCGCAGCACGCTGAACAAAGCCCGAACGCTCTGCGACAAATGGCGGGGCAGCGGGGGCATAAGCGGCGGTGGGGGTGGCAGCCCCAACAACCGCTTGTCCCTCGACAACCCCCTGCCTGGGGACACCTCCCCCCAGAACCACGGCCGGCTGTCGAGGTGGTTCTCGATACGCAGGGGCAACAACCACCAGTACGACATCGAGAACGCCGACGTGCCTAGGTCGCCGCAGAACCCCAACAAGATGCCGCAGCTGCCGGAGGTGAGAGGTTCAGGTGGTTCGGGTCGGGGCAGTCTGGTGGCCAGCACCTGTTGGGAATAGGAATTTTTGGTGTTTTAGGATATTTCAGGTTATCGTTCAGAATATAATAGGATATCACGAAGAGGGAAACTCAGAGTCATTACCACAATATTTCATAAAATAAACGAAAATGGTAGGTAACGAGAGAAAAACCTTGCCAGGTGACGTTTGGCGTTCGCGTTTCATTTCGCGTACGCCTCGTGGGGTATAATTGGCTAAGATGCGTTTCTGTTGGGTCACCATAATTGCCAGATCCAGCAACGCAGACATAACAGTACGATACCTACAAGAATAAATAGACACACTAGAAACCTGGTTTATTAACTGGAAAATAGAAATCAACGCAGAGAAAAGGCAAGCTGTTCTCTTCACTAGACGACTTACCAAACCCACAGGACACGTAATACTAAACCACACACAGATACCATGGGCAGATGAGGCAAAATACGTAGGGGTAACCCTAGACAACAAACTCACTCTCAGACAACACATTACAACACGACTAAACTTGGGTAAAGCTGCAAGGCGAAACCTACAGCCTCTAATAGGTCGCAGAAGCACTACTCCCAATAATTTTGTTTGCATCAAGTGCATGGGGCCAATGCGCAGAGACATAAAAAAAGCGAATACAGGCATTTCTAAATGTCTCAATAAGAATGGCAGTGAATGCCCCATGGTATATCCCAAATAGATTTATCTATAGGGACCTGAACATAAACCCAGACTACATAGACAACTACATAAGACAACACGCGGAGACTACATTTGGAAGAAAAGAAATCCACGAGAACCCGCTACTGCACGACCTGACTAACAGACAACTAAATCAAGACCCGCGCTTCGGAAGAATAAAGTACAGGCGCCCAATTCACCAAATATAAGACAAACAGGCAAAAAGTAAATCAATATCAATAAAAGCTGCATAATAATCGTCCGATAATTAAACAGACAAGTCTCTCCTTTGATACCCTATAAAAATGTAAACCAATAATAATAATACATAACCTCAAATTTGCTTCCCATTAGGGTAGGGAACTACCACGCAAAGTCAGGCTAGGAAACACACATTAGACAAAAAGGTTTAAAAGTCGGTAGACTGAAACCAAGTAAGGGGATTTTATAAAACATAATTATGCAGTTTGCCAATTGCATAAGGTTTTGAAGTCCACTCGTTAGTTAGTGGGGGTGGATGGACATGGTGATGAGGAACTATCATATAAGGTAAGCTAGTTATATGGCGGCACTTGATCCTGTGCATTCAACCTTTCGGGGAGCGTGGTGTGTGTGTGCTGTTGGGTCAGGTTCGCACCAGATAGCGGTCAAGAAGCTATTTGGAACAGCCTTGCACTGATGAGAGCCAACAGCTCGAAACTGGCCTGCAGGTAGTCACGCGTTCCTGATCCACTTAGGCGCAGCTCGGCGTTTAGGAAGGAAACACTTGCGATTTTATTCGTCTATACGAATTATTGCATAGATTTCGGGAGGATGTAATACAATGTTCTGCGTGGCATATAGCCAGGAAAGTAGTTGTTTTTCTCTCGTTATATACCATTTTCGTTCATTTTATGAACTATTGTAATAATGGCTTTGAGTTTCTCTCTTTGTGACCATTGCATTCCATTTTGAGTATTTGGCCTTTTCCTAGTTGATAATATATATCATATAAGATATATTATATATTTAGAATACCATTAATAGTAGGATAATGTTAGGATATTCCAGGATATTTTAGAATATTTCGGGATATTTTAAAGAATCTGGGAATCTGGTGAAATTTGGAAAAAGTATTTTATATAGAATTTTTACTACAGAAGCCAGAAGGTCGCTGCAAAACCTCAACATAATGTCCCAGCTACCAGTGGTAAAGAGTATACGGTCAGGTCTGGTTGGTCTGGTGGCCATTACCTGTTGGGAGGGAAAGTTTCGAGTGTTTCATGACGTAAATTTTAGATTATTCTGGGATGTCCAAGATTTCATGACATTTCCGAATATTTCGGGTATGTTTTGGGAATTCAAAATTATTATTGAAATTGTGAGGATTTTTCCTGAATATCTTAGATGTTTTTTCAATAACTATTGTGAGCAGTCACTTGATAGTTTTCAATATTACAGAACATTTCAGGATATTTTCGATTATTCAGGATATTTCCAGCGATATTTTTAGCAAATTTTCAAACTTTTGGCAATCTGATATCTTTGAATATTTCAGGCCCTTCTCAATATTTTTACAAAATCTCAAAAACTTATTTTCAGATAATTCAGGACACTCTAGGACACATTTTTAGGTTAGTTTAGAATAGGAGGATATTTCCGAACACATTAGATACATTTACGATACTTTTTTGGTCTTTCTGGGCATTTTAGGAACTTTCTATATATTTCAGGATATTTTAATAGTATAGGTAACCGTTAATTTTATTTTGAAGGTGGAGGAAGAGGCCGGATTCCACTTCTCCAGCTGCAACTCCTCCCAAAGAAGGCAACAACCCCCCAGTTTACCACAACCCCCTCCTAATCTGACCCCTCTACAGTTGAAGAGGAGGATGATCGTAGCCGCAATTGTACATAGTGAAAATTCTTATATAGCTACACTCCAAAGGCTAGTAAATGTAAGTTTTTTTCTAACAGGGTGGTATGCGACACTAGCGACAGACTCATTACAATCCCTTTAAAAACCGATCTGTCTTTCACGTGCCGCCCTGTACAACAAAGATTCATTAATTCCAAAATTAAGTGTATGATGATTAAGTTTCAACTTATAGCGACAAGTATGAGTAAAAGACTTGCGATGACGTAATTCTGTCAGGAGTCAGAAATAGTACATTGTTTTATTAGGATAAAATGTGACACTTTTTTTGACAAGCGATATTTGCGTTTGAAAGTTAAAATTCAAATTTAGCTTCTAGATACTGAAAGTGTTGCCTAGCAACTTACATACTAATTATTTTATTGTGTCAGTAAGAGAAACGTCAACTTCAAGAGCTAATTTTTGAACAAAGATGGACGAATTTTGGGTCGATTTCTGGAAATCCAAATCAACTGTTCAAATTAGACTTTGAAAATCATATGGATGAATGAAACTTGACCTTAAGATTCCATAATCGCGACTGCAGATGACATTATTTGGACATAATCAATCATTCTTCAAGTGTTGAGACAGTCAATATTTTTGTCTTTTTTCATGTATTGACTCGGTCGTTACTTGATGGAAATCCATAGTGAATGTAAAAAGTCATACGACTGCAAAAAACGATGATATTTCCACTTCGAAATCACGACATGATTCGCTAACACAGATGCTTCTTCCAGTGAATGAATAATTTTGTCTATCGTTTTTTTGTGCACTCTGTAAATGAGGCAAAATTCTCACCCTGTTTTCTAGTTCACATTCGGCTTTGAATTATGTATATCGAAATAATAAGTACTCATTTTCATTTAAATAACGGCAATTGAAAATCCCAAAAATGTATGCAGACGTTAAAATGTCGGTTTGTTTGATTGGTGGTAAAACCGAAGGTAAAACAGTGGGTAGGGCGAATATTGTGTCACAAAGGACCCCGCAAATTTTCAAGGTAGGTAAATTGGATCCTGGTGGATTTTTCTCAATTTTTAGTATGATGTAGTTCACGTGGTTCTATAAAATATTTTCATCAAGCCAACCTACAAAAATGGACAGTTTTTTTGTCAGGGGGGTTTGAATTTACATTTCGATCGAATGGACCGTTTATTTCTGAGAAAATGAACGATATTCCAAAACTTTTCATTTCATTTAATTACTTCTGGGAATAGATTCTTCATAAAAAATCATCACCCCCAACCCTTATTTTGAAATCCGTAAGAAAAAAGAATTCCATCTAACTGTCAAAAGTGATAGGGAATGTTTCATCACGGATAATTATGGAAACCGCATTTTTGCATTATCACCCTGTACCAAATGGCGGTGCAAATGAAAGAAAATTCTAAAAAATGGTCAGTTTTTCTGCCATATGGGTTTTAATTCACATTTTGAAAAAAATAGACTACCATTTGATTCTGAATAGAAAGACAACTTTTTTCAATATTGTATTCCTCAATGGTTTTTCTTTCGGAAATATTGGGTTCTCACCCCCCAACCAGATTGAAAAAATCCGTGCTACTGTGAGAAGCAAGAAAACATGTTTAATGACAAGAAATCATATGGAAAAAGCTCTCTTGCATGATTGCCTCCAGCAAATGGGAGGGGAGGGGACTTCACATTCCGATCAAAATTAGCCTAGTCTAGATCTAGTCATGTTATCGCCATCTAGTGGCGCCAAAATACTAATGCGAACGATTATTTCGACCAAGGGCGACAGTTGGAATTCTTTTCCTTTCGGATCTCAAAATAGGAATGGGGGGTGATAATTCCCCCCATTATATTTTTTATGTGGAGAAACTATTTCCAGAAGTGATTAAATGGAATGAGAAGATTTGGAATATCGTCCATTTTCTCAGAAATAAATGGTCAATTCGATCAAAATGTGAATTCAAACCCCCCTGGCAAAAAACTGTCCATTTTTGTAGGTTGGCTTGATGGAAATATTTTATAGATCCACATGAACTACATCATACCAAAAATTGAGAAAAATCCACCGGGACCCAATTCACCTTGAAATTTTGCGGGGTCCATTGGATGATTTCGTCTGAAAAAGATTCCACTGTTCATGAATTTTTGTTTTTCAGGATTATAAGAAACCTTTGGAAGAGAGCAACCCCCCGGTCTTGAGTAGTTCCAAGATCCAGACTTTGTTCCACCGACTTCCAGAGATACTCCAGTGCCATACACTTTTTCGAATAGCTTTAGCCGAATGCGTCAGAAATTGGGATCGTGACGAGAGAATTGGCGACGTCTTTGTTGCCTCTTTCTCCAAAGCGATCGTCCTCGACATTTACAGCGGTTTTATCAACAATTTTTCCGTTGCTATGGACTTAGCAAAGATGGAAGCCAAACGAAAATCCGCTCTCGCAGATTTTTTAAAGGTATTTACCTGATTTTGCACTAATTTACCTGAATGAAGATCGAGGTGAATATTTTGAACACCACTCGCTTCTTCTTTCTCAATTTTCAACCCCCCGGGTCTATAGTATTAGTAACAATGATGGAAATAAGTAGTTGGTGTTCTTTTTTCGAATTCAGAGTTAAATAATCCCACTGTTACATAATGTTCCGCGTACCTAAAACACAATTTGCCATTTCATTTTTACTCGTCACAGCAGCAATATCAGCATCACTATCTAGCGGAAAAATGTAGAATCAACGTCTAGCTCGATGTGATGTAGAGAAATCATAGTAGGCGGTCGAGTGATTTTTCTTAAGTTTTCAATACGTATACGTAAAAATGGCCTACTACGCGCACCATCTTTCCATTTCCATCATTATAGTAGCTTAAGTTCATCATCAAACAGTGTATTTCAATAATATTCATTTGTTTTACCAGGCAGTAAAGTAAAGATTGACTGCCGCGGCTGATAGTTTATATCCGAGCGTAGCGATGCTAGGAATTCAGCCAAAGGCAGTCAATCTAAATTTTGCTGCCGTGTGGAACATATAATTGTTCCTCCAAATGTTATAAAACCAATTTCGTGTGATTTTTTTAATGAAAACTCCATCATTTTGTGTTCACTCAATGTCAGTGTCCATTTTGACCGCCAGTTCCATTCAAATTACTTGGAACGTTGCATATCAACAAACTTTCCCTGCCTGTTAAGTGTCATAGAAAAGCCACTTACTATGCTGCTTGGAGAAAAATGTTTCAACTAGCCTGTTCTGATAATAGAGAAAATCCCAACCCTGAAAGTTTTTCTTTCACACCCTGTATCTTGTATATTATATAATTCGCGATTGGATAAGAGACTTTTGTAACCAAACTTAATTTTCCAGGTGAAACAGATCACTTCACATGATCGGTTATCATTCTTTGGTCTCATGGTAAAACCAGTGCAGAGGTTCCCGCAATTCATTCTATTCCTTCAGGTAAGCAAAAAAACACCTTACTCATCCTCATTATATTCTTGATCTGATTTATCTCAATGACAGACAGTATACCTACTTGTTACCATTGCAACTCTACTTTTACGAAAAATAGGAATATTTGCAAACGGCAGCTCTTCATCCGTAAGCACTATGAATTCGAGTGATCAAAATGAGTTTTAACAGCAATAATCTATAGGTTCATTCGAGTTCCGATTTCACAACTGTTCAAGAATCGTTCTAAAACTGCGTAGAACTATTGCGCAATCGTTTCGAATCCTAGGACTATTACAGAACGATTCACAAATTATGAAAACCCGAACACAAGAGTACCTCTGAGAACATAACCTCTATTCAAAATTTTCGAAAAAAACAATACATTGGAGCCTGTATCTTTATTCAAATAATATTCTGAAGCCTCAAACTCTCCTTCCAGTCCATTCACAATATCTCTCTCTGGAAACCCTTTGTGGAGGAATAGTGAATATATTCCATCATAGCATTCGTAGCTAGATTTTCAATATGTTTTATCCCTTGTACCTACATGAATTTCGACACCCACCTGAAATGTTCAATGAATTGTGTATCTGAATATCATGGCAAAGTCTCCCCAACATAATCCTCCATTTTTCGGTTCATCTAACAAAAGTTCTAGAATTATCAGATTAGGTACAATATTTTCAGCAACTTCAGCAAGTAAATCCATCACCACTGCTTCCTGAAGATGAAGAACTACTACTATCAAATGAATGTACTAACTCCATAATATTGAGATAATATCGAAAAGAGCAATAAATAGTAGTATAAACAAAAATATATCATTATGACGTTACGCTACAACAGACATAATCGAAAACTAAATGAAATGAGCATGCGCCAAAAATGATCCTAGAACGGTTCATGCTTCAGAGCAGGTACTTGTTTCGGATAGTTTTAGGATCGTCCCAGGACGAATCTGAAAAAAAAACCGAATGAATGAAGAGTCAGTCCTAGAACAGTTCCAAAAATCCCGAACGCGACCGATTCTACTGCACAAACTCCTGACAGTTCTAGAACAGTAATTGTTCGAACCTGAATGAACCTTATTCATATAGCAATCATAAGGTTAAATGAAAAAGATGAGACGCCACTACAATAACTCTCAATTCAAAACTTTGAAGTAAACATGAATATGTCAACATTCTCAGGACCTTCTGAAGTACACTCCTCACGGCCACCACGACCGAATGTCCCTTCAACTAGCCCTCACCCAATTGGAATCCCTGGCAGAAATGCTGAACGAAAGGAAGCGAGAGGCCGAGCAGTACCAGGCCTTCAAGGAGATGCTGAGGAACATCAGCGGCAAATTTTCGGTGAGGCCTCTCTCCGACAGCAACAGATATCTGCTGAGGGAGGACAACGTGACGCAGTTGGTGAGTTGAATATTTTAATTTTCAGGTTTGAGGGGAGGTGAGTTTAGGCATTGGCATACATGAGAAGGAGTGGCCATGGAACTGATTCCTGGAGAACTCCTGAATCTGACCTCATTGATACTTGTGGACCATGGCTATTACAGTACCCCATTCAGAAGTTATTGTTAGTCGCTGAAAATATCCGAAAATCATTTGAGTTTTGAGGAGTTTTCTTTAAATTCTTCAAGTGTTCAGAAGTTATTTTTGCAAATCTAGAATTATTTTTGAAACATCACATAAGATTGGACTTGAATATCAATTATCTTAATTATCTATTTCTGATAGACAAGTACAAGACTATTTTTGATTGCCATTTCAATCAGAATATGGAATGAATTTTCTTTATTGAATACTTACTGCAGATAACAGAGAACAACACACAACTAAATATACAGATAGAGAATTATCTTTGAATATTCGCATCTTGACTAGAAAACTAGATGGAACAAGGATGTGACGAGGAAGGTGACAGCCTGACAGTTGATAAAGGTCGCGTGCACGAAGACCGACCCTGGAGGCAAAATATTGAAACACAACCTCATTCTTCTGTGAATTATTGAAACACAACCTCACTTGTCATTCCTTATTAAAATTCCTTCTGCCTTCTGCCACTTCTGCAATACAAGCTAATGCTGCTAATAGATTGAAAATGTCTACAACACACACGATCGTCAGCATGTCAGACCAGTCCTACCGATTGATTGCATGAATCCAATCTTCTTGCATTATTCTAGAAATTTCAGGTATATTTCTATTAGCTGATCCTATTGCAGAAGGAATTCCGATGAGAAATCAGAGAAATAACCAAATTTCAAAAATGAAAACTATGTGAGTGACTATATAGTAGGTACTTACTTTTGAATCATAATGTACCATCCGGATTTCTTCATCTTCCACTGCAGTTTTTGTGCATTTTACAACAGCACAATGTGATGGCATTAGCGAATTGATGAATAGCGGAAAAATACGATTCATATGCCAAAATAATTGTGGAAAACTATTTCGATCACTTGTAAACAAATATGTTTTGCCTCCAGGGTCAGTCATCTGACAGTTCTTGCACGCGACCTATTAACGTCAGGAAATTTAGTTTGTCTTCTTATTTCTTTGTATTTCTAGAAACACTGGGAGCTTATGCGCCCGTGCCCAAAATAATTCGGGATTAAGTAAAATCTCGATCATTATTAGGAATACTAGGATATTTTTATTGGTACTGAAGCATCATGCTAGTATAAAAGTGATTATTAGGGACCAGGTCGAAATATTGTCTTCTGTGAATGTAAATTCTATTGTCATTGGTCATATTGAATCTCATAAGGTAATTACTATAGTTACAAATCTGGCAGCGTATGTTCAACCCCATTGATGAATTGATCTTCACAGGAATTCAGTCAGACGGGCCTGATAACCAAAGCCAAGAGCCGCCGCCTCCTCCTCCTTAACGACCTCGTCGTTTGCGTGAGCGTCTCCTCAAAGTCCTCCGACGACTTCGGCTCAGGCGGTGAACGCCTCAGCCTCAAGTGGACCTACCCAGTGGCCGACGTCGAGATCCAAGACAGCGGTACATCGCCCACGCTGAGCAGGATATTGACGGCGACGAAGGGCGGCAGCGTCAAGTCGAACGGATCCTTCGAGGGCACGCCGCCTCAGGACGCCAACAATTTGGGCGTCGAGATGGGCAGTCTGATGCACGACTACGAGGTGTTGAGCCGGATTAACGATCTGGCGGGGCAGCTCAAGGGGCGGTACAAGGTAGGTGTATGGTTCACTTTTTTTTTCAACATATCGTCGCTGTAAAATCAAACCGGCATATCTGCAAAAAAGGGATTTTTGAGCTATTGGTATCAAAAAAATCACCTCTTTGAGTGAGTCAAACCGGCATATGTATAGTATCCTTGTGATAAGTCAGGTACCGTTGTGCCAGTATGAATTTTGGCGAAATTCAGTATGTTTAGAAGCAGTTAAAAGGTATATTGCCAATGCGTCAGTCCAGCATTAGATGTCGTAGTGAAAACTGCTGCAGCTTGTAAGTGAAACCGAATTATCTCCTAATAATACTCTCTGCACAGGCGTAGCCTCGGGCTCTTCTCATTGGCAGATACTCCAGACACTTTTGCAAATTATAAACTTTGAAGTAATATACCGACATATCAGCATATTTTTCAGTTCTCAGAAAATTTCCTAGTTATTTGCCACCGATGCAACTACCAGCAAAACCGAACTTAATTTTATGCACAAAAAAGATAGCTCCCAGATGAAAGATCAATAACTAGGTATAAATAAATAATCGATTAGAAAAACTTTGGAGTGCTCTGGTGAAAAATAGTAGTTCTGCACATACGCCGGTTTGATTTCATAGCGACAATATATAGTACGCCCCTGAAATCTCAATTTATATTTCGTTTTGGTGCGTGCCGATAAAGATTTTGAGGTTGTAGTTTTTTTCCTTTTCAAATCCTTAAAAAAAAAGAATACGCCCCTGAAGATTTTTTCCCGTCGGATGATGTTGAGGAAATTTGTATCTTCTTTCAAAAGCACAAAAAAATTTTGGAAACACACTTGAAAAAATAATTTCACTTTTGATGTCCAAGAGTTTTTTATGCATGAACCGTTGGATTGTACTCTCCTGAAGGTTTTTGTCGGATATTGTTAAAGAAACTTCGAAATTCTGAAATTTGTATCTTTCAAAACCTTTAGAGAAGATTCAGAATGACCCTGAAAACTAATTCAGTTTTTGTTGTCGAAAATTTCGCGTAGTATGCGTCTGAAAACAATTTATATTTTTTCGGATGGTATCTATGAAAGTTCAAAATTCCGACATTTTTATCAGTTCCAAAATATTCTGGTACGCCTCAAAATTCACAATTTTTCATTCCTACTTTTTCAAATTTTCACCATTGTATGGTGTCGAAACAATTTTTAAATTCTGATTTTTTTTATTTTGAACGTATCTCATAATTTCCGAAGAAATTTCGAAATTCTGATTCTTCTCTTCAGAAAAAATTTAGGTCCTGAATTGAAAATTTTCATTTTCGTTTTGATGACAAATTTTCAAATTCTGTTTTTTCTTCATTCTTTTTCAACCCTCTCTGTTTCCAATCTATCAGGAAATAATGGATACCCTTCTGGGCACCAAGTGGCAATTATTGTTTTTTTTCAGATAGTATTGTTGAATTTTCTAATTTAGAATTTTCTCATCATTAAGCCCTGAACAAATTTTGATTAGTTCCACAATTTCACGTTTCACATTTTCAACATTCATTCTGATGTCATCCCATCAGGAAATATTTGTAATTTTATATTTGCTTCTTGATGTGAATCCGATATTCATTTCCAACTTCTCAGAAAAAAATGGATACGCCCCTGAATTCAATAACTTTCATTGGTTGCGAGATTGGTTTTTTTCCTGAATTCTCAATTTCAATTTTCTTTCTCACGAAGTGCTTTTGAAATTTCCTTTTCCTTCATTTACGAACCCCTACAAAAGGTGGATATCCCCTCAATATCGCAATTCATATTTTTTTTTCGATTGACATCGATGATATATCGATATTTACTCACCCGTAATGTTAATTCTCATAAAAGGACATCAACGTGAAGAACTCCAGAAAAATCCTCCTCCAGATCCACACCTCTAATTGCACAGATGAATGGAAAGATGATCTGGTGGACTACTGTTGCCTTCAACTCAACGTCAAGGCCATAGGCAAAGAGAAGACGCTCACCTTCCAGAAAAAAAATTGAATGACCCTGACTTCAATAATTTTCATTGGTTTCTTTCCTGAACTCTCAAATTTCAGTTTTGTTTCTCACAAACTAGAAAATTTCGTGTCCTTCTTTTGTTTACTTATTATTATTGCAATTATTTTTTTTTGTTTACGTTAATGAAATTTCGTTCATTATCCCATAGGACATCAACGTAGAAAACTCCAGAAAAATTCTCCTCCAAATCCAGACCTCCATCCAACAAAAGGACGAAGAGATGGCCTGGGTCGATTCCTGTTGCCTCCAACTCAACGTCAAGGCCAAAGGCAAAGAAGAAACTCTCACCTTCCAAACGGACAATCCGTCGGTGAAGAAGGAGTGGATGACGGAGCTGCGGCTCGCCCAGTTGGCGCTGGACGCGAACAACTCGCCCGCGTGGGAGGTGCCCGAGCAGGAGCAGCGGCCCTCTACCAAGATGCCGCTGTTCGTCAAGGCGCAACCGGTCTACATGTCACAGCATCAAACCGAGGTAAGATCCGTTTTTACGAGTTTCATGAGGTTTATTGAGTTCTTATGAGTTCTGATGAGTTTTTATGAGTTTTTATAAAATTTTATGAGTTTTTATGAGTTCTTATGAGTTTCTGTGAAATTGTATGAGTGTTCGGTAATGTTCAAGAGTGTTTATGAGTGCCTATGAGTGTTCATTACTGCTGTTCCTAGAATTGCATGGATTTATCAGGGCTTATGTTTTTATAAATTTTCGTGAATGTTTGTGGGTGATTATGAGTGTGGTCGTAAGTATTTATGAACATTCATGAGTTTTTTATGGGTGGTAAATGTTCATAACTGTTGATGAGTGTTTGATTTTTCATGAATATTTATGACTTTATATGAGTGTTTATTGGTTTTTACGAGTTTCCACGGATTTATCAGTGCTTGTGTGGGTTTTATCAGCTTTTATGAGTTCATGAGTTTTGATGGGAGTATAAGTGTTTCATTAGTTTTCATGAGTTATCATGCGTTCATGAGTGTAAATTTTTTATTACGGTCGATGAGTATTCGTGAATTTTGAGTGTGTATGAGTTCGTCTGGATGGTATCGCTAGTCGTGGAATGATAGCAGAGATTTCTGAACAACATTTCCCGTAGAAGTATCCATAAAAAAGTGGAAGGTCGCCGACCTTTCTACGGTGTTTCAACGATGTCAAAAGAATAGTGAATATGGCATCACCCATCAGGCGAATGGCTCTTCTCTGGATTGAATCTAAGAACATCAGAGTTTATAAGTTTTCATGAGTGTTTTGGGTGGTTATGAGCGTGTTTGTGAGTATTTGTGGATGTTAATGAGTTTTCATTGGTGTATAAGTGTTCACGAGTTTTTATGAGTTTTTATGAATTAATGATTGTTCATGAGTGTTGAATTTTCCTTACTGTTGATGAGTGTTCATGAGTTTTCATGGAGGTTATGAGTATTTATGAGTGTTGAAGTATATTGATGCGTGTTTATAAGTGATGAAGTCTACTTTATCCCATCATAAATCACTGGTAATATTCTAAAATATTATGATGTTTATGACTTTCTTCGAACCAACTTTTTCGACAGCTCAAAAAAAATGTAAGGTCTTAGCGTTGATATTCCGATTGATCTAGGTACGCTGTGGATGTTACTACACAGTGAGTCAGCCTAAAACGTCAAGGAGGCGCCACAAGGTCCAAAACTTCCTGTGGGTATGTACGACAGATGGCGCCAGCAGCCACATCTCCGTTCTCTCGCAGCATCCCCAACAGGCCGGTGTACTCAAAGATCTCACCTCTTTCTCGCTGGTGGAGACTCAAATAACCGCCATGGAATTCGTGAAAGGTAATCTAACAAATGTTTCAATAATATTTATCGATAGATCTATTCTTTCAAGTATGAGAGTGACCTTATGTCTTGTCAGTTTGAATACATTTTTTTAGTTGTCATGTTATTGGTTTTGCATCAGTAAATGGAATAATGAATTTGACGTAGAAGAAATACAAATGAGAGTAGAAAAATTCTCTTTCTTCAGGTTCGCCCTCTCCTTGTCCGAACCTAGCCACGGACACCGTCTGGATGGGCACAGATCGACGCCGCCTCCATCTCTACGCCGCCGACGAACCGGAGAGACAAGAAGAAATAGCCACTGCCACCGTCTCTGACGTCGTCGTGCAAATCAAATACCACTGCGACAATGTGTTTGTCGCTCTCGCCAACGGCACCCTCTGTGTCTACAGGAAGAACCCCATGGATAACACGTGGATGATCCAGGAACCGCAGATTTTGACGCTGGGAACGGAGGCGGTTTCGTGTCTGCTCCCTATCAACCTCTGTTTGTATGCTGCGTGCGGCAAAAAGGTTTGTAATCAATCAATCATTCTCTGAACATTACAGGATATCCCTTTTCGTGGGAACCAGAACATATAAAAAAAAATTAAATCAATGAATGAAGGATTATAAGACAAATAGTAATACTGGGATCAATCTTCATTTCATTATAATATCTATACAAATACAGTCAGCTGGATTGGTCCTTCGAGCCGGATGTATTGCGCGAATTGCGGAATCATGAGGAATCGAGGGCAGGTAATCGATATATGTGCTGCCAATATGATGTATCTCTCAAACTACATAACAGTGTAGATACCTCAAGATTCATTCTCGAATAAACTGAAGAATATATCAAAAAAAGTATGTCAACAAGCTAAGCGTAAAATGCAAATTAATGAACGGAATGGCTTAATGTACCACTGCGACCACAGTTTGTAGCTGATTTCACTTATATGGTGCGTTTCCCAGACAACTTAATTGAATACAGTTTATGATGTATCTCTCAGACTATTCAACAAAGGATAGACACCGAGATTCTTCCAAAAATCACGTAAAAAGTATTATGCTGATCAAGCCTAAGTGTAAAATGCGAGTCAATGAATAGAATGGCAAATGGTACCACAATGACTAAGGGTTTTTTGCTCTCTTCAAAGGCAACCTCTTCGTCTACAAAAAGAATCTCGTAAATTATCTCTAGGACCAGCAAATTATGACGTTTGGGATAGAAGTAGTTTCGTGTTTCTAGCCTATCAAATTTTTGCTTGTTGCTGCATGCGACAAAATGGTTTGTAATCAATGATAACATGATAACTATAAAACAAAATTTATGCCATGATTCAATCGTATTGCATATGAAATGTGTCAATATCATTAATCGTGAATGCCAAACGTGAGTAACTCTGACATGTCTGATAAGTTCAATGATCACACTATGTCGTTGATTTCACCAATATGATAATCTCTGATTACAATAACGATTGACAATTATCGTGATTTATTCATAGTTCAAGAAAAAAGTGTGATCTTAACAATCCAAAACGCCTAACGCTGATAACTGCGGTATCATAGGCATTGAGGGCATGCTGACCCATGATGAATTTTTATTTCAGCGGTGATTCTTCAAAAGTAAGTTCATTTCTCCATATTGAATGTCCTGTTTATGATAATGAAATGAAATATAATGAGAAAGTCTGACTCATTTTCTGGAAGTTTTATCTTCTGTTAGCTTCCTAATAATCCTCATTAATTTTCCTACGTTCTGAATGGAAGATATATCAAATCGAAATCAATGAAGTTATTGATGAAAGAATTTCATCGATATTACGGGTAGCTCGATTATTTCCCTCGTGAGGGTAGTTGAACCGAACGAATTTTTATATTCCAGGTGTGGGTGTTGAATGGGGTCACTGCAGAAGTCCAGAAGAGCTTCGTGGTCCAACACGAGCAGTTCGGCAGCGTGAACGTGATGGCGCACAGCGGCATCGGTCTGTGGATAGCGCAGAAGAGCTCGAGCACTATCTGCCTGTACCACACGGAGACATTCAAGCACCTGCAGGACATCAATATCGCATCGATCGTGATGAGAATCAATGGAATTGCAGGTGAGATCAACCCTAAGTTGGATTTAACACGTTTTTGGCTTTTGCCCCCATCAATTTTCCCTTGTGATAATTTGATATTGTTAAATATTTATTGACCTATGTACATTTATTTATTTTTTATCCTCACTACAACGTTAACTTCGTAAGGTTTTTCCCAGTTTATTCAACTTACCTATATGTTTATTCCAATGTATATTTTGTAAACGTTCTTGAATAAACTAATATTATTATTATTATTATTAATTTTAAATTGATTTTTGGTAATTGAGTGCGCTCTCTCAAGGGTACGGGACCCTTTTCCTGTATTACAATCAAAATGGTTATTAAGAGCACCTTTTGTGCTCGTCAAGTTTCCCTTCTGGGACTTGACTTCTGATTTTATAAGTGCGCGTTCTTAGGGCAAGGGGCCCTTCATTTTAAATGAAAACCCGTTTATTCCTCAAAACCTATTTATTATTATCATACATGATATTATGATGAGGGACATCGGCAACTTATAAAAAAAAAGTTCACCTCCATTAATTTCTAAAATACGGCTGAAGATCGACTTATATGAGTTCGAAACATGTCCCGTTGAATAACTACATCATTATTAAAGTTGTGGAGATGACTTTGAGCTTTCCTTCCTCCTTTTATGATAACATGTGTCAAAACCACCTTCTAATCTCTTGCAGACTCCCGCGACTCCATGAACAACAACAACAACCGCTCTCCGGTCCACGTGACCGCCCTGCTCGCTTGCAAGGGTCTCCTGTGGGTGGGCACAAACGTCGGCCGGGCGTTGACCGTCCCGCTGCCCCGCCTCGAGGGCGTGCCCATCATCAGCGGCCGCGTCAACGTCTCCTACCACGCCCACTTCGGACCGATCTCCTTCCTGGTCGCCCTGCAGCCGAAGACGCACGCCCAGCACGGGGCGGAGATAGGCAAGGGGATTGGCAAGGGGGTGGAGCCGGTCAAAGGGGCGGAGCCTAGCAATGCGACGGGCAATGTGGAAGGGGAGAGGTCGAAGATGGAGAAGCAGCTGTCGGAGGACTCGTTGCAGAGCGTGAGCGCGAAGCTGAAGTGTCTGGCTAGCAGTCCGGTGGTGTTGAGGAAGAGGCGGAGCAAGGAGAACGAGATGGCCAGGATGTCGAAGACGTTACCGAGAGGTGAGGTTGAAGCGCGAGCTATAGTAAACGATTCTTATTCATTTAAATGGAATAAAATGTTTCGTTTGTGACCGAAGAATCGTTACTTTTTTTTATGAAATCAGCTCTTTGACAACTCGAAAAGTTGATTTTCAAGCGAGAGCTAGATAACAAATTTCGAGATCTTCACTTTTAGGGTATCGTGACATCCCTATATTCAATATTTGTTTCGTGACAATACTTGTCACATTATTGCAGTAGAGGAGAAGTAGGTGCTACAGCCTAACATGAGAGTGATTTTCTGCCTTTTCACTAGTCTTCGCATGTTACGCCTTCTATTTTGACCTTGGAAAAACTCATGGAAAAGAGTTATCTTATCTCGAATTGTCACTTATTGTTGCTTTTTTATCAGTAAATGTCATGATGAATTGAACTCAATGAATTTTTGAGTTGTAACATTTAGAATATGGAATATTTTGATTTGTCATATTGCATGCAGTGCAGTTGAAGAAATGGGGTAGACAAAACAAGTCTTCTAAAAATTTCTGCATGCAGAAAATTTTTGAAAATAGCAACATGGAGAGGAGAGCCGCTGAAAATAATGAAGAAAAATACAACAATAGAACGAAACTGTGGAATGTATGTGATTTGAATATTTACCTTTGCATGGGAATATTATTCTGAGTTAGTACTTACCTATGTCCCGTTCATTCCATTCATTGTTAATGTGTCTGTCGTTTTTAATAGTGGAAATGTCAGTGAAAGAATTCATCGTTGTTATAAACTTCCTAAGTTTCTATAAATGCAACTTCCATCGACCTTGGTGTATTATCTCGTTTTTTGTGAAATCTCGAAGAAATTTCTTGTCATTCCATGTTAAATAAACACTATGCACTCAGTTATAAAATTAGCTCTTGAAGTGATACAACTATAATCGTTTATGAAATATAACTGACTCGTCCTAATGCTCTTGAATGAGTGAATGAAGAGTTCACTTGGTTTGTTGCTACCTGTGAAAGCTGCTGCTTGGCATTCACTGTTACTCCAGGTAGTCTTCAGTACTGCTCTGTATAATTTGAGAAGAACTTGGCAATCTTGAAGGTTTGATTTGAATAAATCCGGCTCGAAGGACCAATACGTTCGATGTTTCATAGATAGTGGATCGCATTTATATGGATATGCAATTCGAACTGCAATCCTTCTTCATTGATTTTATCGATTAATCTTCTGTTTCTACCTACGTGATGTTAACAATAAATGAAAATTACTCTTATACTTAACTTCTACAAGAAATTAACGCACCGCCAAAAAGTAGCCAAAAGTTCTGGAATCATTCTCGTCAAAACTATTTGGCAGATTTGAACGTTTTTCATTTTGAATGACATCTTATTTCCTTGTGAACAATGGTGTGCAAACTGTTTTCGCATAAGAACTAAACAATAAGTGTCCGCTCGAACCGCAATGTGATGATGAATCTGATGACTTTCCTCTTTCCAGGTCTCGGCAACGGCGGCTCGATTTTCTCCACCTCCACCACCTCCTCGCAAACCTCCAGCTCGGACACCAACAACGTATATGGCCTCTACAGCGAACTCATGTACGTGAAGGACTACGAGCGCGAAGACAACATCCTCACCGACCCCGTATACGAGTCCCTGCGGCGAAGCGACCCCCAATTGGCCGCGCTGCCCAACAGGGTGAGCACTCTCGACCGCCGCCTGAAGATGAAAGTTTCAAGGCCGAGATCGTTGGACCTTTCTAATTGGTCGGTGGACTCGAGGTCGTCGAGTTTGTGCACATCATCCGGTTCGGAGGAGAGTATGGCGCTGAGACTGAATTTGGGCAGAAGCGTTTCTAGGAACAATTCAAGCGTTTCGAAGGCTAACAAGGAGAAAGAGCCTGAGCAAGTCCGAACGGTTTCTAAGGCAAAGAACTCGAGTTTTGATAATGGGAGGAGGACTGTTATTACGTTGATGGGGGGTAGGGGGTATGTGAATACGAGGCAGCCGTGTTGTGGGGTTGAGAAGGGGGGAAAGGTGGGGAGGGAGGCGAATTGTAACGATGCTCATATCGTGATATGGGAACTGAAATTGTGATCTGGTTAGACGAAGGGGGGTGGTTTTTGTGGAGGAGTGGCGCTCCGGAGTGGTTCTGTTTTTTTTTCAATGTGTTCTAGGAAACGCTTCGGGGCGTTTTTTCTCGGTGGAAAATAAATGTGTATTTTAGATAGCATCTTATATAAATGTCAATATTTTTATGACCTCTAATTTATACATGGATTTTTAAGTCTCTATTTTTTAATTTATTCTGTTGTGAAACGACCTTTTTTTTTAATTTATTTTCTATATGTCATCACAAAAACACTGGACTACCCTTATTAGAGTATATTTGTATATTTTATATTCATGTCCCTGTTATTTTTTTGAATAGTTGCATGTTTAAAATATAATGAATTTATTATTGTTCACTGTGTTATATCAGAGCATCTATTGAAATAAAGTTTAAAACTCCAATGATTCGTTTTATTAACCGACTATATATAGAAGCCTTCTTATGGAATTCCATGAATTTATCTTTTTCATGACTCAAGTGTGACAGAACTTCATTTTTCACACCCAAAGATCAAATTCTTGATCACTTTGGAATTTCATAAATAGAACATTGATTTTCTCGAAAACTACATTATATATATAATATATATATATACTGCGATCATTCCAGATAAAATATAATTGATCGATTCACTAGCTTTTGTGGCAATCATAGAAAATAATACTTTGAACGGTTCACTTAAACAAATTTCTGTTGTTTAAAAAAAACACCTATATCCACTTCCTTCAGCTCCACTTTTCTCAGACCCAGAAAAGGATTTTCGAGAGAAATACATCACTCAAACATTCTCCACATCCCGCAACCATCATTCCTCCGCAAACGCCTTCGGGAAATTGTAATCGGGCTTGATCTTGTTGAACTCGACGTAGACGGGCATTTTTTTGACCCGGAGCAGCTGCACCAGCTCGGAAAAATCCGGACGGTCGTCGGGATGTTCCTTCCAGCAGTTCAGCATGAGGTCGTAGAGGTCGTCTGAGCATATTTCCGGTCTGCCCAGACGTTGGCCAGACTTCAAAAACAGCAGGACGTGGTGGCACAACATGTTCTCGTATGGTTGGGCTCCTGAAACAGAGGGAAAATCCTTTTGGTAAACCAAATCACAAATAAATAGTAGTTTGGCTTTCTACGAAAGAGTGTTTTGCAGTTTTTTTAACATTTTTTGTAAATAGGTAATCTATTTTGACGAAAGAATCGTAACCTCCGACTCCTAAAACCCCCAGATACTAACTCGTTTGCCATATTGAATCGGCCATCTTAAATTTCGAAATCTTGACGAAACAATCATTATCTCCGACTCCGAAAATACCCAATTTTTATTATAATCGGATCATAATTACAAAACTCGTCCGCCACATTGGATCGGCCCTCTTGAATTTCCAAATATTGACGAATGAATCATAATCTCCGACCCTGAAAACCTCCAGATATCGAAATTTTGAATGGAATCGGATCATAATTACAAAACTCGTCCGCCATATTGTGTCCGTTATCTTGAATTCTCTAATTTTGACGAAAGAATCATTATCTCCAACTCCGAAAACCCCAAATTACCAATTTTGAATAGAATCGGATCATAACTACAGAATTTGCCCGCCATATTGAAACTGCCATCTTGAAATGTCAACATTTTTATAGGGTAAGGGATAAGTAGGTACATGTTTCAACCCCTGATGGGAGAATCACCTTCAGGCTTACGTGGAGCGGACAATAAATTATCAAGTGAGAGTTCTGCCGTCACAAATCATATCCATGGTTCAAGAGACTTACTCCTCGAATTCTTGAACAAACATTATAATAGTATCATTCTTACCGAGGGTTCCAATTTCCCACAGCACCACCCCATAAGACCAGACGTCGCTTTTGCTGTCTGCCCGAAGATTTTCGATGGCTTCGATGGCCATCCATCTCAGCGGAACTTTCTTTTTCATGTTTCTGTTCACGTACGGACCGGTTCTCGACATGCCGAAATCGGTAATCTTCAATCTTTTGTTTATCGTCATCAGAATGTTCCTGGCAGCCAAATCCCTGAAGAAGAATTAAAAACGTATATACTAGTAGGTTCTGAGGTAGATTGGAGCATCCCCACTCCTCCACTCTTCATTCTTCCTCCCACTCGACTGCCATCCAATCACATACCGCCATTTACTTCAAGAAACCTGCCCACTGATGTAAATTAGAGACGTTTCTCGATCTCAACGGTTTTTTGACGTTCAGGTTGATTGCTAAATCGGTGAGACTTACAAAATGATGACGTTCTAAGATTGAATGGCGAAAGTCAGAGAATTATGCACGGTTTTCTTCAATCTTTTGTTTATCGCCATCAGAATGTTCCAGGCAGCCAAATTCCTGTAGATAAATTAGAAATTTATGTACTAGTACGTTCTGAGGTAGAACCCCACTTTACATTCGTGACATTTTCCAACAGTTTTTCGAAGTTCAAGTTGATCGGTAAGCAGTTGGGCCTCACAAAATGATGACGGTCTACGATTGGATAGCGAAAGAAAGAGAATAAAAATGTATGCACATATTTAGTGTCCCGTTTACATTTTCGAACGAAATAGCACAGAAATACCCCTAGTAGTAGGTTCTGCGATAGTTTAAAGCAACCCCACTCCTCAACTCTTTATTCTACCCCCCACATGACTCTGCCATCCAATAGCACACCGCCATTTACTTTTCTAAACAGTTTTTCGATGATCAAGTTGATCGCTAAGCAAGTCAGAACTTACAAAGTGATGGCGGTCTAAGATTGAATGGCGAGAGAATGAAAACGTATGCACGAATTTAGGACCTTGCTAACATTTTTGAACGAAATAGCACAAAAATACTCCTAGCAGTAGGGTAGTTTGGAGCAACCCCACTCCTCAAATATTTATTATTTATCCCACTTGACTCTGCCATCCTATCACAGACCGTCATTTCCTTCTAGGACCCCGCCCACTATGCATAAGTGACGTTCCTCAATGGTTTTTCGACGTTAGAGTTGATCGCTAAGTGGGTGGGGCCTACAAAATAATGACGGTCTGCGATTGGATGACGGAAGACAGAGAAACAGTGAATTAGTAGGGGAATACCTTATGTACCCAAATACCTACTCCCATTACTTTTAATGTCCGAAAACAATTCACATACCTATGAGTGACCCCAATTCGTTCCAAATGTTCCATCCCACTAGCTATTTGTAGTGCGAAATTTTGCAGTTCTATGTGATCTAAGGCAGGAGGAGGGCGAATGCTGACATCTTGCAGAAGTGGAGTGTTAGCGTCCTTGTTATATTCCACCACCTCCTCTGGAATTATTGATGAAATGAAAATTATAGAAGAATATTAAACTTTTGAGTCTTCATTCTTGTGTCAAATCACACATTCGATTCGAAACTCGAAACGAAGTTTATGAATATCACAAATTTGATGCATATATATAACATAGGCATGATAAAAAATATCATATCACAGTTTTTCCATATCATCTCAGTTGAGCCAATTACCTGAAATTTTCAGAATTTTCAAATCTGCCATAGAAATAGACTGATTATCATTGGATGTTTGTATTTCATAGTCCCACATTTTTTGATCTTTAGGTTTCGCTGATAATCTTTCTATCCTTTCTGCAGTGGTTTCAATTTGTATGTAGGATGTTTCAAAATTCCTAAAAGAATAGAGTTACGCGATATTTTACAAACGATAACATTCCAACATAATATTTTTCATTTAATATCAGATCCATAGCCAGAAAATTCGGATTTCCACATGTAGAATCGTTTTTAGTTAATTCTGAAGGCGCAATGATTCCTTATCCTTTACAAAAACTGATAAACAATGATTCTCATTGTAAATAAAGACATATTTATGGCTAACTCATAGAATCTTATTATTCAAGCGGTTTCACAGAGGTCCTTATAATGCTCGTTACAATGTATCCTTAAAAGATAGAGACATAACTAGTTAGCTGGGATAAAAGGTATTCTAGTTACCTACTCGGAGGGTACAACAATCAGGGTTGGCATGGATTAATTCATATGAATTGAGTCAATCGTGAATTAAATCGAAATCCATTGGAAACGAATCGCATTATTACATTCAATTCGAACTAGTTTGAAATGAAAAATCCAATAGCATTATGGCAACCTCACCATCATCATAAGCATCTGAGCGCCCACAGGCGGAAAACTAACTTTTCTAAGAGCCGCTGTACAGTTTTCAATTTTTTATTGCATTCAAATTGATTGCTGCAGATCATATCTCCGGCAATAATAATATGCAGGCTATTTAACACTGAGTTGGGATGGATTGGCTTGCAATGTCTTCTTTAAAAAAAACCGTATTTTACTTCTTATTACCTTGAAAGAAATCATGAGAACAGTAACATTCAATTTAATTTGTAATGATGTATAAATAATCCATCAAGTGTAATGCATGAAATGTCGATGATCCATCATTTTGTTACTTATTAGACGAGAGCTTGTATATGTCGAAGTAACCTTGACATTTCAATGAGAAATTTGATGTCCGACAATTTGACGAAAACAATTACAGTCCAAAATGTCACTAGTGTCTGGGCGCGCAATGAAAATTGCTGCATTCTTTTAGGAGATTGCAACCTAATGAAGATTTTGAATAAGTTATAAATTGCATGATAATATATGCATTTATTTATTATGCAACTTTGTATCTTGTTTACGTAAATAAATTTTTATTTTCAAATGAATTAATTCACTATACAGTGTGTCTCACTTTAAACGCCCCCCCCCCCCATATATCTCTTTTATTAGTCATGCGATTCCAACCAAATTTGGTGTGGTATGAATAACCATCGATATGATCAGTTTTACAGAAGTGCACATTATTTTGGACAGTTCTGTGCGTTTTTATTGAACTAAAAAGGGGTCGATTTTTAATTAAATCATATTAGGCATTTTTTTAAAGGAAATCTAACCTCATATCATTGTTCCTCATGCTTTCGAACCTCCATAAGCAAAAAATCACCTAACTCCGAATTTACAGGATTGGCTTAATTTTTTTAATTTTCAGTCTCAAATAAATAGTGACTTCAAATCAACTACGAATTTTGGAACGTTCAATGGATCCAGTAGGTGGAAGATCATAGTTTGGAAGGAAAAACGAGTTATACTTTTTATGTTGAACTCACCGTTTCCGAGTAAATAATTATTACGTTCGCGAAAATGCTGTTTAGATGTGCCTGTTTTTCTGAAACCCTTCATAGGCATCCTATCAAAATCCACATATGTAGGTTTGGAACCATGAAGAACAATATTATGTGGTCAGTTTTCCTGTGGAAAAACGTCTAATATGATTTAATAAAAGGCTGACCTCTATTCATTTGTAGCAACTGTTATCAAGTGACGTATGGTTTCCATAGCCAACTTTTCAATTTTTGGCTTTCATTTTGCTTCCACGGCCTACTCGGTGAATTTCAATAATAATTTTTTTCTGATCTAGTTTTTGGTTAGATACCAACTTGTGATATGTCATTAGAAAGGGAATTGACTAAAACTATAATGTCCAACCAAAATATAACTTGTTGGTTTCGGAATAGTGCTCGAATTTTTTATCCGAAAAATACATTTTTTGACCGTGCCTCGTATACACCCTGATTAACTATAATTTATGTGATTAAAACAAGACATGTTCATGAGTTCCGATCAATATATTTTCTAGCTCATTTTGTTTCATTTGTACTAAAAAAACAGTTTCTCTCTTTGTCAATCCTACCCCGATACGACGTTTTTACGAACTTTGTCGGCTTGTATCTTAGAAACTTAACTTTTTAATCTCACATAGTTTTCTAATGAGCCATCCCACATCAACATAGTAAAATTTCAGTCAATTCGACCGAGAGCCAATTTCCCGTGTTTTCGTGCGACTTACTTGGTGAAGAAAATTTCATTCCTAGTGGACTCCCACATTTCCCTGACTTTGAGAAGGTATTCCTTGAGCGTGCCGTTCATTACTAGCTCCATAACTATCATGTAGGGCTCTGATTTCGTAACGCAAGCCAACATTCTTACGATATTCTTGTGAACCCCAATTTTCTTCAACATATTTATTTCAGACAAAAAATCGGAAATTTCATCAGCAGAAGGATTATCTGGAAAAAAAGATTCGTCATAGTGTACAACAATATGAAATGTAATGTTTTCCATTTCTGATTAATTTGTAAGAGTTCATCATGGGTACTTACTTACTTTTCAATTGTTTGACTGCTACAATACTGTATCCTTGATAGCCAAACAGTCTGTGAGCCTTGGCATAGTAAACTTTTCCAAATTCACCTTCCCCTATCTTCACTTTTATTTCTATATTTCGACTAGGAAATTCGTAGAGATCAGCATTCTGAAAAAAAAAATACAAATGATACAATATGAAGGTAAGTACCTATATTGATGTAAATCAGAAGCCTTCACTTCGATCATCCACTCTCTTAGGTCGATCAGATATAATTATATAAATAAAAAAAAACACCCAGACGAGTGAACTGCGTTCAAAGATAATGTAATTTCTCAAAATATATATCGTTTCAGAAAATTAAAATAAGAATAATTGAACTTCTCTTGGATGGACATTATGCTGCTAGAATTTGAAACATCTTTCCTGAAACTACAGTCCGTAACACAACAAGTATACCAATGATATCAATAAAAATTGATCAACCGAAATTCAAATAAATTTCAAATTACCTTTTCTTCTAGTTTCTCATAGAGCAGGTTTACCTCTTCTTTCGCAACTCTAGAAAATACAACGGGTGAATGATTCCATAACACACAGAGATCGAAATGTTCTCACATCTTAGGCTGGGCCACATTGATCTCAGTCATGTTAATTTCTGATTCCACCATGTACAAACGATTTCTCAGTCCTTCCACTATGTTAACCATGCATTCGGACAAAGTTTCAATGTTGAAAATTATCACACCAGCAAAAAATACTATGCATGCAAGTAGTCCGATTATAGCGTAAATGATAGGTGCTTTTTCTGAAAATAAAATTAAAAAAAAATGAAAATTCAAAAGTATATAAGTATATAATGGAATGATAGTTTCATACTGCTTAGAACTCCTCAGCCTCAGAAATGTGAAGAAGTATCTTTTTTTTATCTCTTGGAGCGCATGAAAGGAAATTCCTATACTGTTGGTGGAACATCGCGCGTACTTAGGGAGGGTAGAGAGAGAAGGTAAGTGTTTTTTAACAATTAGAGGCACATATAAGGTTATACAGTTCATTGGCTTCTAGATCATCTATCGTGAGACAAAAGAAATCGTCGTGGATTTCAAGATCACTTTCTATTATCAATATTTCTTTGCCTGTTCTGATAAATAAATCACTGCAACGAATCCGAAAAAGGTGAATAAAAAAAGTATTCAGGATATTTGGAATGATACAAGTGGGTAAATACCACTATTAATCGAAAAGAAATATATTCATCCTTGTACAAATATTCAGTTTCATTCTGAATCTGTTTCACTTCTAGGAATGATATAGATAGGGGATGATCAACTGTAGAAAATCAAACAAAGCTCACAGATTTTCAATTGAACAACAATAAATTTCACCAGGATTTTACGTGATTCTTGAATAAAAACAAATTCTCGTGATATCTTTAGTGACCTTAACCTTTTTCAAGATTACGCAATGAATATATTGTAAAGAAGATACGTTCTGTTCATCAGTATCAATTCTGATTAATTCCATAGTTTTTGAGATATACTGTTAAGAATAGGTACCATAGCAACACTACCAAAACTCGTTTTCTATAGAACAACAAAGCTTTGGAATTCTTTGGCAAAGGATATATTCGCAAGAAATTAAAATCTCCAAGAGTTGGAGAAAAAATCCAACACCTACCTCCCCTTCCTATCCTCTCAAGGTACGCATAATATGTTCTTCGAACATTATAGGAATTCAATTTCGTGCGCTCCAAGAGATTAAAAAAACTATACTGCAGGTTTTATGTGTAATTTATTCAAGGAAAAATGAAGCTAGTTTGTCTGGTCTTCAATTTTTATTTTGAATATAAAAATACCACATTGACATTACTTATAGGAAAAGTCATAAAATGTAGAGGTTCCTGTTTTGGTCGGAACAGTGAACTATACTATGGAATAAACTCCTATTATTGATGCTAAAGTGAGGCAAATCAGATGTTGGGTCAACATGAACTATACGTGAATAAAAATAAAAATTCATTTACCTTGGTAATGGTACTGAAAGGTGGTATTATAAGTACAACCAGTTTTAGACTTATGGTTTTGCAGTTTGAATACAAAGTCATAGACTTTGTTTGGTTTCATATCTTTAATTGTGAGATAGAAGGCATTATGAGTTATTTCTGAAAGAAACCTGGATATAGACAACTCTTCCCCAGTTTCAGTGGAAATACTGGAAAAAATACATAACAATGTGGAAACATGGAACCGTCAATATTTTATAGAAGACTATATTATATTAGAACCATATATCACTGAATAAACATAATAGAACATTTTCTGGATCATCCGAAAGTATGATATTAATTATGATTAAGATAAATTGGTCAAATGGGATATTCCACTCAGAATATCATCCCAGATAGCACAATGTCATTCACAGAACGTCCATACTATATTCTTCGAGAACATTTGAATATTCTCAGAATATCCTCACATTATGGTACAAATATTATAGGGACGTTCTATGAACATTCGGAATGGACTGTTTCAAATATTCTGAGAATATTCCTAGTATATTGAAGGAGAAGGAAGAAAACTAAAAAAAAGCTTGCTCCGTTGGATATGCGAACTTACTATCTTGTCATTGAATTTTCACGAACATGTATTGAAGCGTAACCCCCGATACTAACAAGGCCTGAAGGCTCGTAGTGTACAGCTCGTGACGTCAGCTAACTGAGGCCACACGTTCGCGTGTCGACTGTTGTATATTCTTTTAACTGTGGTTTAGGTATGTTCGAGAAGCGGTCGCGTGCCCGAATTCTTTTGTTGTTTATTCATCAAAATGATTGGCGGAAAAATTACTGTTTTGTGAAATATTTTGTGTTGTGATAGGCGAAATAACAATGCCTTTCAAGTGTTGTGTTCCTTTTTGTCGGGTGAATTATGTGGGTGGTCCAAAAGTTCATGCTTTTAGTTTCCCGTTGGACAAGGAACTATCGAAAAAGTGGGTATATGCAATTCACCGCGAGGATTTTTCTCCATCTAAGTACAGTAGAGTATGTGAATTACATTTTACTAAAGATGCTATTATTACTTCATCTACTGCAACCGATTCTGAAACTGGCAAAACTGTAATTTGAAAATTCCTAGGCTCAAACAGATGGTATTCCTACTCGATTTTCTAACTATCCATATCTTATTCATCGAAAGATGTAAAATTACGCACAAGTCGTGATGAGAAACTTGAGATACTAGAGACTAAAAATTTGGCACAAGCACTTATTACTAAAAGTAAAACTGAATTCGAAAATTACCAGAATATCAAGAATTTCTAGTTGTATAAGAGTATTTTCAGTTGTCCGCTAAGTGGTTCAAAATTATCGATTTGCATAGAATGATAGATTGGTTAGAAACTTGAAAATCTGCAAATTCTACTAATAAACTAACAAACCAAACACATACTGCTTTGATTCACACTATATATGGAATGACAGACGTTATACAATATTGTTTAAACGAACTCAAGATGAATTATGTTTTACTAGGATTACTAGGAAAATTTCAAACAGATGATTTGGAACATAGGTTCGGGAAATATCGTCAACTTTCAGGTGGACAATATCACATATCTATTCGACCATTGTATGAATCGGAAAAAAGGCTCAGGATTCAATCACTGCTCACGCTAAAATCTCGTACTTACGGTAGGTACGGTAATATACAAATCAGGCGCTTCCACGAAAATATTGATTTCACCGAAGAAATCCAAGAAAATCATTCTTTCAATCCAGATATCATAGTCGAGGTATCTGATATAGATAAATATAGTGATGACATGCCGGTAATTTAGCAGGTTATTGTTGCTATATTACACTTAGAAAAATTCAGTGCGAATTTTTTAAACAGAACTTAACTTATAATGATGAATTAATAATAGAAGACAATCACTCTCTCATAAAAAGTATGAGTAGAGGAAAATTACTCGATCCGCAAGCTTTGATTGTGCAGTTAATTTTGTATTCGTATATTATATTCAACAAAATCATCTCTGAATTCGAGGAAATATTCTTGAATGTTCATAATAAACGGGCATTTTTAACTCAATACATTCTCAAATTTCTTTCTGAAAACGATCATTTGCCTCGTGGCAATGAATGCAGAATTCATTCCAATGATCAAATTGCAACTATCATATTACACTTATACTACAAACACTCTACTTGAAAATTCAAGTCTAACGATCAATTGGTTAAAACATATTTTTTAGGTAATCGGAATTCTTCATGATAAATATAGGTTATAATAACAAACGGCATGTCTATCAAAATAAAATGAATTTTCCCCAATTTTCTTTCGATCAATCTCACGCTAAGTTTATGTTCTGCGGGCCCTGAATAAGTAGGTGTGAAGTTTACCTTTAATGAGATTGAATCACTACAATTTTTGCCAATATATTTTATTCGAATGGGTTGCTGTAGGTGGGTATTTTTGTTTTATTCTGATTTTTGCTTTGAAACTTCGTTTTCCCATAATAAAATCGAATGTGATGCAAAGAAGGGCTCAGTTGACGACTGGCATCCTCTTTTAACCGGAAGCCCTTAAAAAAAACAGCAAAATCGTCTCAATAATGATCTAAAACTAAAATTAAAATACGCGGTCGCCTTATAGCGCCATAAGCGCTTGTCGTTTCGAGCCGCTGCTAAGCCTCACTAAGGTGACGTCACCACGGAGCCTGCAGGCCTTGTTAGTCTCGGGGGTAACGATTAATCTCCCTGTGGTACCCAGAGGAGTACCCAGAGGGGTACCCAGAGGGGTGGGGGAGTTGCTCATTCGTGATATGTGCAGGGAGTGTTTCCGGTTTATGGAGGAAAAAATACAATTATAAAAAACAAAAAAAACTCTTTTGGGTGTATGATGTGTGCATATACATATTTTTGTCTGAAGGAGAATGCAAATTCTCAATTTCAGAAGTTTTTATATTTTATTTTCAAACTCTTATCGTGTGTGTTCAATAGATATAATTCAATGTTCGTCGTGGCATATAGCCAGGAAAGTAGTTGTTTTCTATTGAATCAACTGAGAAAGAGTAAATATTCTCATCACATAGAGAATGCGATTTCTCAATGTATTGCTTTATATAAATATATATCCATTTTTTTATGTTCATAATCTATCTGAGAATATTCCTTTTCAAAAAAAAACTCCTTCTTGTTTGCTCACGAACATGAAACCATACCACTTCACCACGGACCTCATTGATACATAAAGTGAATAGCCAGATGACATTAGATTAGTGGGATAATCAGCATTGAGGCTATAGAGAATAATGGGTTGTGTCAGGGTAAACATTATGAATATTGATGCAAGAATATGGAGATATACACCGTGTCCCAGCTAAAATGTCCCCCCCTGTAAAAAAATCAACCGCGCGATCGAATGACTTGAAATTTGGTCACCCAGTATATTTGATGATGCTCACTCGAATTATGCTATTGGATAAATCGTAGGTGTGGTGTGGAGTTCATTATTACAAATTCAACAATGCCGGGTTTGATGGGATTTTTTTCAAACGACTACGAAAATATGGCAAAAAATAAAACGATTCAATGAAAAATTCATATGATTAGATTTCATCAATATAACACGATTGAAATCGAATGAAAAGAAAATGATTAGAATCTAATAACCACCAATTGTCTCGATGGTGATGGCAACTGGCCAGCTCGGTCGCCAGACCTCACCCCACTTGATTTTTATTTGTGAGGCTACTTGAAACAACAGGTTCATGAGTCGCCAATTGTGAATATGGAAGAAATGAAAGAGAAAATCACAAATTTATGCACACAAATTGATCGCAACGTGATACATAGGGTCACAATGAACGTAATCAAAAGAGCTAGGAAATGTTTGCAGCAGAATGGACGACATATTGAGCAGTTGAGGTTTTAATTATTTTCTTTTCATTCGATTTCAATCGTGTTATATTAATAAAATCTAATCATATACATTTTTTATTGAATCGTTTGATTTTTTGCCATATCTTCGTAGTCGTTTGAAAAAGTCCCATCAAACCCGGCATTGTTGAATTTGTAATAAGGAACTCTACTTGAATAAGGAATAATATACTGGGTGTCCCTATTCAAATAAGATAGTTGAGGTGCACTTCGGTGTGACCCTGTATACCTACGATTTATTCAATAGCATAATTCGAGTGAGCATCATCAAATATACTGGGTGACCAAATTTCAAGTCATTCGATCGCGCCGTTGATTTCATCATATATTTTGAGACGATTCTCAGAATATTTAAAAAGATTGTTCAGAGAATATATCAAATTGACTGTTCATAGAATATTCTCTGCATAATGAGAACATACTATGATTATTCCGAGAAAAGTCTATAAGAATAGGTATTCTAAAAGAGTATATTTGAACGTTGTCAGAATATTCATAAAATATTCTGTGCTGTCTGGGATAATATCATGGAAAAATCATGGCAGAACCATCGTGAAAGCTGCTGCACAAAAAACTCAGCTTTCAATCAGAACTCCTTATTTCACTTATTTGTCTATAGAATGGCAATCTTTTAGAATTCTTTGCCCAAGTACTTCCAATAGTGAAGAAAAATCCATCACTTGCCAATAATACATTAGAATATTATTTAAATAATTCGATGTTCTTGGGGAATATATTTTGGCGTATTCACTCAATATTTTTGTGCTATCTAGGATAGCGATATTGATTTTGGATTGAATACTTCAGATAATCGTAAAAAAAGAGCTGATAACTGATATTCAAAAAATTACCAACCATTTTGTATCAATGACACTAAATGACTCATTACCATAATTCTGGTAGTCAACTTTATAGCAGTGTTCGTTTTTATATAACACCTGAGTAACATTATTCAATAAAACCATATGAGATGTTCCACAATAATCTGAAAAAAAAAACAGGATTACTTACAACGTACAAACATCTGAAAAAAATTCTGAGAAAATTATTTTTACCTTGGCTGAAGTACTGAACAGAAACATCATAAATACACCCGCTTTCATTGAATGTGAAAACAAAGTCATAGAGGTTGTTAGGTTCCATATCGTCTATTATTGGGAGATATATGGAACTACTGCTTATATCCACATATTCTTCTTTTGAAATGTTCAAATTTTTACCAGTTCTCGTAGAAACACTGAAAATTGCGGAAACGTTCTTTCAGACATGTCGATGTAATCTTCACGGCACAAAATAAATATCAAGTTGATTTTAATTTGTTAGATTTTATATACAGTACTCAACATATTGTAATTGTACCACACTCAGAAGTATACTCTTTCTCGACAATCTGTGACACTGATTATTGGAAAAAAGATCTATTATTTAGATATTGGAGGGTGAATGAAAGACGGATGAATCACTTTACCAGTATATACAGTGTGGAAGAAACATAAAAACTCATTTTAGAAAATGCACAAACGCTGATTAAAATAACAACCAATTTGGTAAAAGCAATTCAGGAAGGATTTTTTCAATTTTCATTATCCATAGCGGACTCATATTCCAAAACATTTTTTTAAAGTCCTCTCTGCATTCTATAACTATTTTATTACTATATAGTACATCATATCACTTGACAAACATCCAACTTAATAATATAATAATAATAATCGCTTTTATTGACAGATAATGGTTAACAAAAAAAAAGTAACATATGACATAATCTATCAAAAGGCAGAGTTAGCTCTGGTTCGGACTCGGTGTTGAGTCGAACAAGTGCTTTCTTCCACTCAACCTATGGAGCTAGTATTAAACTACGCTGAATAATCTAAAACTATATTAACAACTGAATATAAGGTGATACAATACATTATGTATTAATAAAACTACTCAGAATAATGAATACAAATTGAATAAGGCATGTTAAGTAAAGAAATAAAAAAAAAATTGAACAGGATTAATAACTATACACTCAATTATAATAAACATGTACAGGGTGTAACTAAATAAGTGTAAAATATTTGAGGGGGTGCGATTACTCATCGAAAAAAAGATAGGATCTTTCCTCGGATCTTTCATATAAAGAAACTTCATTGGAGCATCCCATGTTAAGATACAGCCCCCTGAAGGGGGTACATAAAATTTGTTTAACAATTCTTTTGAAAGGGGTGGAAAACGCAACCCCTAAATCTTATTTCCAATGTAACTTTTTGTCTTATGATTTCTTCACCATTTGAAAATTCATTTCCGATAGCCTGTTTCATTCTAAACAAAAAATGTCCCTTGATTTTTTGCCCAAAATAAACCAGTTCGCAGCAAATAGTTATTTGTTTAACTAATCTTGAATGTTGTACACTTATTTAGTTACACATACTGTATATGTTCCTGTACATGTTCTTATAGGCACCTACATTGCTGTTTTTATTTTTGTTTGTAAGGATTTCTGTTCGATTCATTTTTATCGTCCACTTCAAACATATTGTGCATAAATTACTTTTTTGTTGATAAGCAAATCCTTATTTGACAATAATGCATATTTTGTATTGATCTGATTGATTAATTGGTAGAGGATGAGATTTTTATTTAAAACTATTTCCTTGATAACGACATCATTATCAAGTACTTAGTATGTACTCCAAATGTTATAAAACCAATTTTGTGAAATTTTGTTTTCGAAATCTCGATCATTTTTTATTCAACCTATGTCAGTGTCAATTTTGATTGCCAAATTCATTAAAATTGCTTGGAAAGTTGCATAGCAACAAACTTCACCTGCCTAGGCAGAGAAAATACAACTTTCCTGCCTGTTAAGTTTCAGAGAAGAGCCACTTTCCCTGCTACTTGGAGAAAAAGATAATAAACATGTACCGAATTTCTTCATCCCAACACAGGGGTTATCGGAAATATTTACAAAAAGAACATCATGTCGGGCCCTTTTTCAGCAGTAGCGGCTCCTCAGAGGAGGCAACGGAGGCTGAGCCTCCTCAGAGATATTCCTCAAACTGATATTATCTATACTTTCTCATTGAAAGGACACCAAATTAAATGGATTTTGATTTTATTTCCTGTTTTTAGGTAAATATTTTTGAATTGGCAACAGTGCTTGCCCACGCATCACACGTTGAAGTCTGCAAATCACGCGTAAAATATTCAACTTGGCAACATCTATAGGAGGCTAGAATCCTTCACAACGCGCAACTCACGCGCGCAATGCAAATGCCCGAATACGCCCGAATAGCACGTGTTTGTCGTGTCGCGTCGCGAATTGCGGACAATCCAGAATCCAGCGAGAGTGCATTGTTTATGTTTATGTAAGGTTAATGGTTAGGGGCTCTATAAATTTCTGAAAAATGAGTGTTTTAAACGATTGCGATTTAGTGGAATACTTTTATATGCACTTTTTCACTAGTTTTGTTTCAAATTCTAGAATACTGCGTGACTAGAAAAAATCTGTATTTTTCACCTTTTTTTGCAAAATATAGGTATATTGCAAAGATTTTCCAAGAAATAGTCCTAATGTATTGTAATGTAATCAAATTTTCATCTAACAAAAAATTTCTGACTGAGGCTATAGACTTTAATGTTGCGAACTGTATATCGTCCTATTTTAGATTTTTTTTAATTAAACACCTACCATCTTCTGGCAATCATTGTAATCGTCCCATTACCAGTTTTGGTGTATTTAACCTGGTAACAATTTTTGGAACAATGACTGTTTTGAAACGCCTCCATCACCTTACTAACATTCAATTGAACGATATGTGGTGCTTCACAAGCTGAAAAAAAAAACACGATTATACATTTCATAACTGGTTTAAGATTCGATAGAAATTGATGATCTCGTTATCTTATCCAATTTGAGTAAACATTATCAATTATTGCTTGAACATTTCCCATACTAAAAATAGTTATTTATTATACAAGGGAAAAAAGTAGTAGATTTTAGCTCCAGGTTGTGTTGTCACCCGACGCGTAGCGGAGGGAGACAAAAAACCGTGAGCTAAAATCTAATATTTTTCCCGTGTATAATACACTATTTTTTTCTGTGACAGAAGGAAGGACGAATCAATATTGAGAAGATATTACATTATTTCGAAATCTGAAAATTATCGACGTGAAATTTCAAGTTTTTAACAGTAGGGACACCTGCGTTTTATAGGCATCTTCATCATTCTTTTGAAGTAATCAAATATCTGATGTCACTTCTGTCAGTTCAATTCTGTGATTTGATTTCAAAAAATTGCGAATTCAGTAGTTGTTTAGCAATATACGAAACTGCGAAGTCGAATGGAAGATAAAAGGACTTGCAGTTCTTTCTCGGAGACGGTATTATTGACTCATTTTTCGGAACTATAGCACAACAAAAGCTATTAACAGAGTATATATATGTGATATATATCCGGGAAAAAAGTACTCACTTTTTTCCCACGGGAAAAAAGTAATTTATGAAAAGTGACATTTTATAACCTGCCAACAGAGATGAAATGCCAAACTTTTTTCCCGTCACAGAAAAAAGGTATTTTTCTAATTTTGACATGTAATTTGACACTTTTCAAAACTGACTGAAGTTTGGAAACGTCTTACTTTACGTAACCGCAGTTGCGTAAAGTAAGATAGATATAACGATATGAGATGAGAAAGTTGTCAAACGTGAATATAAATAAAAATTCATTTACCTTGGCTACGGTACTGGAAGGTAGTATTATAAGTACAACCAGTTGTCAAGTTCTGCAGTGTGAATACAAAGTCATAGGTTTTGTTAGGTTTCATATCTTTTATTGTGAGATAAAAGGCATTATGAGTTATTTCTGAAAGATTCCTGGATATAACCAACTTTTCCTCAGTTTCAGTGGAAATACTGAAAAAATTCATAACAATGTGGAAATATGGAACCGTCAATATTTTATTGAAGACTATCAAAACCGAGATCAAAACAGAACCCTGTTTTAGCATTCTTATCCCAGATATCACCGAATAAACATATAGAACATTTTCTGGATCATCCGAAAGTATGATAACAATTATGATCATGACAAATTTTTCAAATGGGATATACAGGGTGTCCGGAAATTATGCGCAAAAAATCAAGGGGTTGATTCTGCATGAGAAAACATATAATTTATTTCATACATACGTGGGTCCGGAAATGTATGGTTTTCAAGATACAGTGTGTTGAACTTTTCAGAAAAAATCGTTTTTTGATGAATTTCTCAAATATCCTTTCAACGATTCTTTTTTTTTTATTATTATTATTTTATCGCTTGGAGCGCACGAAAGGAAATCCCTATAATGTTCAAGGAAATTTGGCAATGATATTCTTTATCATGAGGGACTGATTTAGCCATAATTGAATTGGAATTGTGAAATCCAGTGGCGTCCCGGGGAAACCCTACCGAATATTATTGTCAATAAAATGTGTGCCACTGATTTGTTTGGTCTCTTGAATTGTTTTGCTATTTTGCTGCCTTTCCGTGGAAAAAAAAATAAATACCAATTCATCGTATGAATTAATGCAAAACATTGCTTCAAAAACAGGGGTGGAATTAAATGTGTGATCCATGTCCATAGACGTAGAATGAGAATGAGGATTCATTTTCTTCAAATATTTTATAAATACATGTTTGTATTATCGAAAACTATGCCTTCCTGGACCGAGATTACATAGTGTAGAGTGTGTCAAACATGTATCAAGAAATAATTGAAGAAAATGAATCTTCATAGTCATTCTATGTCTATGGACATTGATCACGCATTTATTTTCACCCCAGTTTTTGAAGGAATTTTTCGGCAAAAATTTATGCAATAAATTGGTATATATTTTTTTCCATGGAAATGAAGCAAATTATCGGAACAATTCAAGAGACCAAAATGTTTGTATGTATTTTTAGTTGGTCAATAGGTTATGAAGATACAGAATTCAAAAAAATCAGTGGGGCACATTTTATTGAAAATGATATTCGGTAGGTTGCCCCCGGGACACCACTGTAAATCATAATTCCAATTGAATTATAGCTATTTCAGCCTCTCATGACAAACGATATCATTGCCAAATTTCAAGAAAATCGGTGGAAGGACCTCTGAGATATTCATAAATAAACGATCTTTTTGAATAGTTTTAACACATTGTATGTTGGAAACTATGCGATTCCGGACCCACGTACAGGGTCATTCCGTATATTTAAACAGCTTCTACAGGGTTCATCATTGAAGATAGAGAAAAACTTCGAATGTGAAAGTTGTATGGTTTGTTCTGAACATCCAGAAAATTATACCAGATGAAACAATTGAATATCGCTGATATAGGAAATAGGTACCAACTTCGTTATTTTCAATGGAACACCCTATATTTTTCGAAAAATGTCAAGATCTTTTTTTCCTGATTCCAAAAATATATTGGTCATCGATATTTGGTTCATCCGTTTTCGAGATATTCGAGGTTGAACATTTTTGATTTTACCAAATCGCAACTGCCATGAAAGAAAAAAAAACGCACTTTTATAACTGAAGGAGATGCAATTTCACAGATGTTCGATGTGACCACCGTTGTTTTGTATACATTTTCTGTATTCTTTATCCAATTTATTTATCGAATTGCAAATGGAGTTGGAGTGATGATTGCATTCCAAAATTCTTCCTCTCAAATCAGCCAAATTTCTACTTCTTTCCTTATACACTTCATTCTTCAAATAGCCCCATAGGAAGTTATCTAAAGGTGTTAAATCTGGACTGTTCGGCGGCCATTCCACTGTTCCGGATTTTCCGATCCACGTTTGATAACGATCATTCAAGTGATGCCGTACGGGCATAACTTGATGAGGTGGTGCGCCATCCTGATGCCAGATCAATTCATTATACTGCCTGAGTGGGAGGTTTTCCAACAGATCATCAATTCCATTGTTTAAAAACTGCAAATACCTATCTCCTGCTAAAGAACCCTCAAAGGAAATTAGTCCAATCACATGGCTTTTCAAAATACCACACCAGACATTGAGGGGTTTGCGATCCTGTTGCTGGATCTCGTATCCATGTGGATTTGGTGAAATCAAATTAAAAGAAATTCTAAAATGTTCAACTTCGAATATCTCGAAAACGGCTGAGCCAAATATCAATGACCAATATATTTTTGGAATCAGGAAGAAGAGATCTTGAATTTTTTCGAAAAATATATAGGGTGTTCCATTGAAAATAACGAAGTTGGTACCCATTTCTTATATCAGCGATATTCATTTGTTTCATCTGGTATAATTTTCTGGAGGTTCAGAACAAACCCTACAAGTTTTTCATTCGAAGTTTTTCTTTATCTTCAATGATAAACTCTGTAGAAGCTGTTTGAATATACGGAATGACCCTGTACATATAAAATGAATTTCTTATTTTTTCATGTAGAATCAACCCCTGGATTTTTTGCGCATAATTTCCGGACACCCTGTATTCCTCTCAGAATATCATAGAATCACGAAAAAATCATGTCAGAACCATCGCGAAAGCTGCTGCACAAAAACTCAGCTTTTCATCAGAACTCCTTATTTTTCTATAGAACGGCAATCCTTTGGAAGTCTTTGCCGAAGATTCCCAAGAACTTCCAAAAGTGAAGAAAAATCCAATGCATACCTAGCAATAATCCATAAGAATATTATTGAAATAAATGAATGTTCTTGGGGAATATACTTTGTATTGAAGACTTCAGATAATCGTAAAAGAAATGTGATGATGGCTGATATTCAAAAAAATTACCAACCATTTTATATCAATGACACTAAATGACCCACTACCAAAATTCTGGTAGTCAACTTCATAGCAGATTTCGTTCTCATATAACACCTGAGTAACATTCAATAAAACTATCTGAGCTGTTCCACAAGAATCTGAAAAAAAAAAGGATTACTTACAACGTACAAACACCAAAAATAATTCTGAAGAAATCTGAGAAAATTATTTTCACCTTGGCTAGGGTACTGAACAGTAATATTATATTCACACGTGTTGTTGTCATGAAATGTGAATTCAAAATCATAGAGGTTGTTAGGTTTGATTTCATTTACTATGAGATATATGGAACTACTGCTCATGTCCACATATTCATCTGATATTTGCAATTCTTTCCCAGTTCTCGTAGAAACACTGAAAATTGAAGAAACGTTCTGTCAGACATGAAGATGTCACCTTCAAGGCATAAATCATGTTGATTTAAATTTGTTAGATCTTATATACAGTACTCGCAACATATTATTGGAAAAAAGATCTATTATTTCGATATTTGAAGGTAAATGAGTGATATACAGTGTGCAGTGTGGAAGAAAAGTAAAAAAACTCATTTTGGAAAATATGCACAAACGCGGATTGAAATAATGACCAAATCAATACAAGAAGTCATCCCTGATTGCTTCACATACTACTTTATTGCTATAGCACATCATATCACTAGACAAACACCCAACTTAATTTTGATAAATATACACCTAATTATAATAAACATATGTTTCTGTAACAGGTGATTCAATAGGGATGATGAGGTGCTGGTATCTCAGGAACTAATAGTTTATGAAAGACGCCCCCTAGCGAGGGCTATAGGAACCCGAATGGCATAGATGTTTTTTTGTTTCATTCAGCATACTTTCCTTTCTTGAACCAGACTTTGTTAGCAAACTTATTAGTTCCTGATGGGATACAATATCTGGTCACCCTTATTGAATCATCTGGTACAGGTTCTGATATGTACCAAGATTTTTTGTGTTATGATTTTTGTTCGATCCATTTTTATCGTCCACTTCAAACATATTGTGTGTAATAGTTATTTATGTATCGAGGGCGTAAAGTAAGCTTTTATATGGACCGTAACGTGTAAATAATGGTGGATTTATGCAGCGATCATAAGGACTGTCATATCATAAGAAAAGCACCTATTCTTTTGCTCATTTTGCTATAGAGTCAGTTTCATAAGACATAACTGATTTTTTTATTCAGCAGTTCCAAATACCTGTTTTGGATTCGATTTGATTAAAAAGTTAGTGTGAAGTAGGCGTTTATGGCCTGAGGCGTGAATAATGGCCCGATGGCGCTAGCCGAGGGCCATTACACGCCGAAAGTTATTAACGCATTTTACGCTCGTGATACATACAACATTTTATGCACTAGTGGTTTATTTCCCGAGTCATAAATAATGACTAGATTTCAACAAACTACAATTCATATGTTACTCATCCAAAAAAAACGGAAAAATATTCTCTGTACATGAAAATATTCATTGTCATCTCAAACAAGACGATTTTCAAAGTGACTTTGTGGTGTAGTGTGTGAAATACGGTTTACTTGAGTTTTCAGAATGGTGAATCTCAACTTTAGTTTTATTGATTTTTGGTTGATCTAGACAGATCTTGTAAAAAAAAGTCACCCCGTGTTTTTCCGGGTTCTTGATGAATGAAATTTTTTGCAGAAAATCGATTGTTATTTATACTTGCGGCTACATTTCGATAGGCAACCCGGTATAAACATATTCTCCTATTCATGAATATATGTTAAAATTTGATTTCCATTTTGAATAACAGATGAACGTAGTAAACTTGCGGTCGGATCTTAGACTATAATGTATTGTAATGTGATCAATTTTTCATCTCACAGAAAAATTCTGAGGCTAGATTATTATGTTGCGAACTGTATATCGTCTTATTTTAGATTTTTTCTGAATAAAAATCAACATCAACCACCTTCTATCAGTCATTGTGAGCGCCTTAGTATCAATTCCTGTGTATTGAACCTGGTAACAATCTTTGCCACAACGACTGTTTTGATACGGCTCCATCACCTTAGTAACATTGAATTGAACCATATCAAGTGCTGCTCCACAATCTTCAAATAAAATCACGATTATACATTTTATTAGACCCTGATGATCTTGTTCAATTTGAATCAACATTATTAATTATTGCTTGAACATCACCCATACTGAAAAAACGTATTTTTCTAATTTTGACATGTAATTTGATAGTTTTCAGAACTGACAGGAGTTTGAAAACTTCTAACTTTTCGTAGTTTCGTAGTTAGCTCAAAGTTAAATATATTATATAATTGGTGATGAAACGTTCATTTCAACACCAGCTCAGAAATAAAAATATGGATGAACGAAAATAATATACCGGGTGTCAACGAATCAATTAGACAAGTCATAACTTTTAGACCTTTAGGTGTATCAAAATGAGATTTGGTATAGGTAAATGGTATGTGGAGAGGAGATTTTTCACATATTTTTCACTTTCCGGTCACTTCCGGTTTCACCGGAAATGGCTCCGGTTCTGAATTTTCAAATGGAACACCCTATATATTGTAACATTTTTGGATTTCTGAGACAATTCTAGATCATAATGTGACATTTTCCAAAGTTTTTATGCCTACTAAATTTTTTCGGAGACTTTTGAAATTACATCTAGGTGGCCATGATTTGAAGTGAACTAATCTAAGGACTTCAGGTGATATCAGAAAATTACAATCGCGAAGTTTTAGAGACAAGTATGATAGATATGAATAAGACAAGTTGGCAAAATTACATTTTCGTGTCTAACTATTGTTTTTCAAATGGCGACCATTTTTTGACAAGCACTTTCCGAAAAAAGGATATTTTCACGAATCTAACGATACTATATGCGATTGGATTACAAATGAGAACATAAATTAAATATTACTTACGAAAACACTTGATAATAATTTATTTACTTTTGTCAAGTGTGCCATGGATAATAATTCATTTACTTCCGAAATAAACTGCAAAATATTATGCATCATGCCTAGAATATTTATGGACGATGGTTATGAGATCTAGCAGTTGAATAGGTGGTGGAAAAATCCACTCAAGTATGTCAGATAGCGCCCTACAGCTTTGCCACTAGATGGCTACAACATGACTATAACTTCATGTTATACCCTGCGTCTAATAAATGTTGTTGAAATGACTTTGGGTTTTCATCTATGAACTACGGAATAATGTTGCGCTGAGCATTATGTCTAATAGATAATTTTGCGCAGAATCCAGTGGCGTACTCAACTTTTTTTTCGGGGTTTGCTTTTGGAGATTGGACACAAACTCATATATTTTCCCTGTATCCCATCATTTCGTTGAATTCGTTCTTTTTTCCCTTCAAAATGATACATAATACTTCATACATCGTCGACTTCCCCCTGAACGGTTTGGACATCAGCCACTACTACCGAGAATTGAAACCTGGCAGTCTCAACCAGAATGAGAGCATTTTTTTTATATAACATCTAGGTAGATATTTTATACTGTGTATATTTTCCTGATTCATATTTACCTGTTCCATTATTCAAAGCCAATACCTAAAAAACAGAGCGGAATTAGTAATACTAATATTATTATCTCTAATCATCATAGTCTTTATTCAATACGCATTGTAAATAAATATTGAGTAATAATCAGTGAAGAATGTTGATGCATATACATTCATACTAAGTAAAAAAATCTTGATAGACAATGTTTATTTTTGTAAAGATAAATACATTTCCTCATTTCTGAGAAATACTGCCAAGAAATGGCACGACTTCCAAATGCATGTATTAATTCGAAATTATATATTATCAACATTCAATCTATCTACACGAGTTCCTTTCATTTTCTGAAGTTATTTTCGATTTCCTTTGAACTAACTCTACTAATAAACTGTCCGTTCTTGTGGTTTATGCTATCAAACAGTTTTCCAAATTTTCACTTATTCACGAGCTTATTCAATTATTACCGAAATGTTTTTCGAGATAACGAATTTTCTGAATATTCGTGTTGGAGAAACAATATCCGGTTTTTAATTGGAGCTAAAGTGGTATTTGGTGAGAAAATTTCACACTGAAAGGACCCCGCACTTTTAGTACGTAAAATGGTTCTCGGTGAAATTTTCTGAATTTTTAGGATGTTGTAGAATTCGATGAACTGATTGAACCTGCAGAATCGTGAAGTTCTTTGCTGAACAGATTCTGAGATACAGGGCGTTGAAGTTACAAATCGGTATTTTTCATTCAATTTTTTTCTCGAAATTCAAAGATGCCAAGTACAATTTTCTCCGCTCATATCATTAACGAACCTCCATATTACTCAACATGATTCAGATGGTTCAATGATGTAATTGTTTACAGAGTGAAACATATAAACATTTCAGTGATGTCGGAAAATTCGATGTTATAATGAAATATCGAAAAAATAATTTAGGCGTGCATTATACTATCCTCATTCCATCATGAATCACAATTCACACATTTCATACAGGGTGATTTGAAAAATTGGTGACACCTAAGACCGATTTATTCATACACATCCTGTATATTCGAGTGAATTGTTAATCTCCAAAGATAGCTGATACCGTATGAACATGATTTCATTGAGATATATAGGGTGATCATGAAGATTTTCGATGATGAAAATGACAAAAAATCGTGTTTTTTGAAATCACCCTGTTATTCATGATTAACTCGGTGAAATTCCCTAATTATTTTTTAATATATTCATCATTCGCTACTCAACGCTGTTTTGATAATTCGGTTTCCTATCATGACGGGTGTCATAGTTATTAATTCAGGAACTTACCATTTGCATGAAGAGTTGAAGAGACTTGTTCACTTACATTCGCATAGTGGCCGATATTTTTCACAAATAGTGAAACGTGAGAATGTGGAGACGAAAATAAGTTCAGTATCTATATAGAGGGTGAACATTAGAAATTCAATAACAATAGCAGATATATGAATTTAATAATATTAATATAATGTACAGATAGTTAGGCGAATTTTGTTGGTATACAAGCTCTGCCAAAATGAAAAACGAACAATACCTAGGAGATGGGAGAACGATTCGGTCTTTCACGCTTCCATTTCTAATAGGGAGAGTTGAATCCTGGAATCGACAGATTTTTTCACATTTGTTTTCCACTGAGAATCAGGCGTTTCCATCATTTTCATATTTGCTTGCTATCAGTAATTATTATAATATCATCAGATTCATATTCATATCACATTCAAATGATATAATTCAATACGTATATGATGGTGTAATATAAATAATCCTATTATACTAGATGTTTCCGAAATAGCAGCGATAAATATGAAAAGGTGTTGTATGGGACATAATGACATAAGAGCCAGTCACTATTCATCGAATATTACCACTTCAAAATAGCATGATACTATATAGTATTTGAATATGATACAATTTGGTAGTAGTAATATTATTTAATTATCAAATTCATATATCTGCTATTGTTATTGAATTTCTAATGTTCATCCTGTATATGAATACTAAACTTATTTTCATCTCCACATTCTCACGTTCCACTATTTGTGAAGAATATCGACCACTATGCGAATGTAAGTGAACAAGTCTCTTCAACTCTTCATGCAAATGGTAAGTTCCTGAATTAATAACTATGACACCCGTTATGATAGGAAACTGAATTTTCAAGACAGCGTTGAGGAGCGAATGATGAATATATTAAGAAATAATTAGGGAATTTCACCGAGTTAATCATGAATAACAGGGTGATTTCAAAAAACACGATTTTTTGTCATTTTCATCATCGAAAATCTTCATGATCACCCTATATATCTAAACGAAATAATGTTCATACGGTATCAGCTATCTTTGGAGATCAACAAATCACTCGAATATACAGGATGTGTATGAATAAATCGGTCTTAGGGGGTCTTAGGTGTCACCAATTTTTCAAATCACCCTGTATAAAATGTATGAATTGTGATTCATGATGGAATGAGAATAGTTTATATGTTTCACTCTGTAAACAATTACATCATTGAGCCATCTGAATTTTGTTGAGTAATATGGAGGTTCGTTAATGATATGAGCGAAGAAAATTGTACTTGGCATCTTTGAATTTCGAGAAAATAATTAAATGAAAAATACCGATTTGTAACTTCAACACCCTGTATCTCAGAATCTGTTCATCAAAGAACTTCACGATTCTGCAGGTTCAATCAGTTCATCGAATTCTACAAAATACTGAAAATTCAGGAAATTTCACCGAGAACCATTTTACGTACTAAAAGTGCGGGGTCCTTTGAAAAAATGCTGGGATAAGTTATGCAAAATATTAATAAGGCAGCTGGTGGTAGTTCAAACTATTATTCTTGACTAACTTCATTCCACTCAAGTTGGTGGGAATATATTTTGTTACAAGGAACTCGACAGTATTGTAAGATCCTAATAAATAACTTGAGGTACTTATAGTTATATCATTTTATACACCTAGCTAAGCAAATTATAAATCACCGGTGAAAATGCTGTTCCTGTTCATAACAACAGCTCTTAAGTTTATTTTTCTAAAGTTGCAAAGAAAAACGCTGAAACTTGAATAAACAAAATGATAATCGATCAAAACTGACTCACCACCTTGTATACAAGTAGAACAAGTATTAAATCAATCGTAGCTGAAAACTGTTTATGTAACATTATCCTTGTTTTTATTCACGGCACGGTAAACAAAAAATCCAGGAACTCTCTACAAATATGTATTTTATTCTCCTTCCTGTACCAACAAAAATCATCTATCTGAAAAAAAAAACATGAAAATAGAACAAACAAATGCCCCATATCATTATACTAGTAATATATTGGATATATATATATGCATGCACTTCATTGATGGGTGTATACAGGGTGTAAATAAATTGTGGAGGTGTTTCCTTGTTATATTTTAGACAAAAAAGTGCAAATAAACATATGTTCTGAGGCTATTGAAATTCGACGTATACCGGGTGTCCCAAGTTATCGAACACAGGCAATATCTCGCTTACATGACAAGATAATTGAAAAATTCTAAAATTGAATTGAATGGCATTGAAGTAGCTTTCTTATGACATATTAAAATATCTATACCATTTGACAGTTCTCTGGCAGCTACCCCCACTTTTAATTTTCAGATGGCGCCCTCTGTATGATGTCATTCAATTTGGAATACAACGATAGAGTATACTTGGTATTTTTTTATTGATAAAAACAAAAATATCAACATTATGTGACTTAAGTTACTTAATTATCCTTATGAAAATGAAATATTGCCTTCGTTCATGTTTTTTGTTTCAAAAAGCTGATGCTTTTTATGTCAAAATAGTTTTGAACACTTGCTGTGATTTTTAGTTCATTTTTTGATTCGCATATAAAAGATATTTCAGTTGAAAGTAATACATTAAATGTTGCTGTTTTTGTTGTTATAATTATAAAAAAATACCAAGTATATGCTATCGTTGTATTCCTTATAGGATGACACGTAATTTTCAATGACAATATATCATTTGAAAATAAAAAGTGAGGGAGAGAACTGTCAAATGTAAGAGATTTTTTAATATGTCATTGGCAAGATACTTCAATGCCATTCAATGCAGTTTTTGAATTATTCAATTACCTTGTCGAATAGCGAGATATTGCCTGTATACGATAACTTGGGACACCCTGTATTCATTGTTTTTATAATGATTCCTCTACAAAGAGTAAAAAACATTCAGAATGATATTGAGATCGTTGAAAAGGAATATTCTCAGATAAATTATGAACATACAAAAATGGATATACTTATATTTATATAAAAAAATACATTGAGAATTCGCATTCTCTATAAGTATGTGATGAGAATATCAACTCTTTTTCAGTTTATTCAATAGAAAACAACTACTTTCTTGGCTATATGCCACGACGAACATTGAATTTTATCTATTGAACACACACGATAAGAGTTTGAAAATAAAATATAAAATCTTCTGAAATTGAGAATTTGCATTCTCCTTCAGACAAAAATATGTATATGCACATATCATTCTGAATATTCAACAAAAAACAACTACTTTCCTGGCTATTTGCCACGTCGAACAATGAATTATATCTGATGAACATCCAAAAGGAGAACATGAAAAAAAAATCCTCTGAAATTGAGAATTGACATTCTTTCTCAAATCGGATGGATAATATGATGTATAATGATATACAAATATAACTTACCAATATATTCAGCATTGAAATGAAAATTGGAATGTATAGGAGAAGTATACTGGCATAAACTCTGATCTTGATGAGCTTGAAAACTTCCAAAAATAATCATTCATATCAGTACCAATACTATTCCTCTTGTTTATAAATGACATTACCCACCTACCGATTAATGGTATATTCACACTATTCGCTGATGACGCGACAATAAGCTGGTCGGACAGACACCCTGATAATCTCCACCATAACATGTCTAAAGACCTCGCAGTGGTTACAGAATGGTGTGCAGCTAACAAAGCCACATTCAATTTCAATAAAACGCACACTTTGACCTTCAAAGGTGGCCAGCGAGACATTATTGTAAAAGACCATACCATCGAATCCATACAATGCAGCAAATTCTTGGGAATACAAATTGACAGTAAATTGAAGTGGGAAGATCATGTTGTGGCCCTTGGAAAAAAAGTTTCGAAGGGTGCCTATGCTGTTAGAATTATTGCGAGTGAGCTAGGAACAGTAGCAGCTAGGCCCGTGTATTTTTCACTGGTGGAATCTCACCTTGTATATGGTATACCTTTTTGGGGAGCATGCAGTCGATATCATTTCAACATGATATTTGTTCTGCAGAAGAGAGCTCTCAGATATCTCTGTAGAGCAAACTACAGACAATCATGTAAACCCCTTTTTATGAAACATAAAATATTGACCCTTCCAGCTCTTTTTATTTTTGAAACAGTCTGCATCATTTTTAAATATAAAAGATCATTCCCTACTAGAGTTCATGTTTATAACACACGACAGGACAATAACATAAGACTGCCAATTCCAACAACAACGCTTGTTAAGAATTCTTTTATATATAATGGTATAAAAATGTTTAACCACCTGCCAGAACCAATTAAAAGTACTGAAGCCTATTATAGATTCAGGAGGGCAACAAAAAAATTACTTTTAGAACAGCCATTTTATTCTGTTGACGAGTTTTTATCTTCTTCTCTCTGAAATTTATTTTTCTTGTTTACTTATTTTTTTTATATAAAATATAGATTTATAGGTACAAATGTATGTGTTATGTGAATGTGTGTCTTAATTATGTTTTATTTATTTATGTTCTCTTGACAGCTCTGCTACAAAAATGTATATTTCTGAACAAATTGTATGAGGTATAATGTTTCAATTATGTTTTTATTTATATTATTTTGACATGCTTTGTTACAAAAATTTATATTTTTAAACAATAAAGCTATTTTTGACTTTGACTTTGACTTTGATATGGGAATATGAAAAAGAGTTAATATTCTCATCACATAGAGAATGCGAATTCTCAATTTATCCTGTATGATGAATGTCAATTTATCATACACCCAAGAGATATTGAGATCATTGAGTAATCTCAATGGATGCCTTGAGAGCACCTAGATTACAATTTGGGAACAAATCGAATTCTTGTTATTTCCTCAAAATCTGAGCGATATAGAAAAGTAAGACCAGGGGCAGGAAAGTTGCAGCTATTTTCGACATTGTTCCAATGAAAATATGAAACCCAGGAAAAACCGTTATTCAACATAAATAGGATAATCCACTGCGGCGCAACTGATGGCATTATTATTTCGAATCTAATTACACCAAAATAAGTACCATGTCAATATTAACAAAACCACTTAGTTTCATTGAAAAAAGGGTTTTTTTCTCCAAGCGGCATAGAAAGTATGGCTTTTCTCTGACACTTAACAATCAATATCATAAAACAGATTGCAGTCAACAACGTATACAACGTTAATTTGATAGACAGTATTCTTTCCAAAAAAACTTCACAATAAAGCTAATCAAGAAGTTTATCCTACCATCAAGAATAAAAATCAAAATTATAGAACTTCAACGTATTTCGGATCATCAACTGAGAAATTAGCTTCATTTCTACATAAACAGGACTTAAAAGTGGCATTTAGAACAAATAACACGTTGGGACGGTTTATCAAGAATAATAAAGACAAAACTTCTAAATTCGAAAAATCAGGGGTATACAAACTCAAATGTGGATCTTGTCCTAAGGTATATATCCGTCAGACAGGTCGTACGTTTAATCAGCACATTCATGAACATAAGATGGATTTTATGAAAAAGAAAACAAATTCAACATACGCCAACCATATATTAGAAGAAAACCATAGTTTTGATGATAATTTCGAAATTCTGCACGTAGAAGGACTGAAACTCAATCATTTTGAATCATTAGAAATCAACAAACTCAAAAATTTTGACATTTTTCTTAATGATCAATTAGACCTCAATAGTTCACCACTGTTGAATTTGTTTTCCAAGTAATAATATGTATTTGCTATCAACTCTTTCAAGTTAATCCGGTATACCGTAATTTAATGTAGATATTGTGCCTAATTTCCGAAAATGAAGGTTTATCGTACCTGTCCACAGGTAATTATTATTATTATTATTAATCCTTCAGGTTGGGAAAGTAAGACATATAAAAGTTAAACAAGCCAACGTTAGTTTAGTTGTACCATTATATCACCTGACGAAGCTACTGTGTTAGCGAAACATGTCGTGTGTTTGGGAATTTTGTGGAAATCTTATCGTTTGTGAAGTTTTTACATCAATCAGGGAAGGTGTACTTTCTCTGCCTAGGCAGGAAAAGTTTGTTGCTATGCAACATTTCAAGTAATTTGAATGGAATTGGTAATCAAAATTAACACTGAGATTGGGTGGAAACAAAATGATAGAGTTTTCTATAAAAAAAATTCTCAAAATTGGTTTTATAACATTTGGATGTCAATCTACTACTTTGATGTCTAGTAAAACAAATAACTATTTTTATGAAAACATATATTAATATGCACTTTTGAAAGTGACAGATGTTCTCGGATGAACTGGAAATTGCTGAAGTTTTTATCTGTCTGCTTTCATCAGTTCCACGATTGCAGAATTTTTTCTGATGACCTAAGAAAGTGATTGCGCTCACACGCTTGTACAAGTCTCTTGAATCGTAACCGAATGACGGAAAAGAACAATTTCAGAACAATTTTACTTAAAAAAAAATGAAAAAAAAGCAGGGGCGAGCCACACTAAGCCTCTAGAGGACATTCGGTATAGGTATATAATATGTGGGTATTATTTCCAGGTAGAAAACATGGAAATTCTTGTTTGATAAGTGTGATATCTATACAAATATAGAAATATATCTAGCTCACCAAGTTTGCTTAGGAATATTTTTGATGCGATTGAAGGTAAATACCAGGATTAACGCAATCAACAATGATTCATTTATTGTACTATATAACCGATATGTGTCAATTCCATGATGTAAGAAATACACTATAAAGTAGGGATTGTTCTCGAAATTGGGGCAATGAATGAAATGGATGATAGAAGGAAACAAAACGAAATGAAAGAATACATGTTTGTCGACAAACAGATGTTTTGGAAGACATTCAGCTTCAGCTCTACTGATAACCAGATTTTCGAAAAATATTAAATTGGGAAATTATAGGGGGAAACCGCTATGAAATGGACGGGTCTTGAAACGGACAGTTGTCGTAGTTGCTATGTGTTTG